TTCAGAATTGGTTATGCATTAAACCACCCCTCAGCAGACTGTGGCTTTTTTGGACAGCAATTTTGGGTATCTCACTTACCTCAATCCTATTATCAGCTCAGCTGGTGAGGTAATAATGCCAAAAGTGTGGGTTTGACCCCTGTATAGGCCATTCACTTAAGAGCTGGGCTCAATGATCCTTGGAGGTCCCTTCAAACTCAGAATATTCTGTGTTCTGTGAATTCCAAGTGCTGTAAAACCTTACTTCCATTATTTGATAGGAAATTTTTCAGAGAAGCTTTGCATTCTCATGACTTTCAGGAAAAGTCATAACCAAGAATAGTCTGTTTTTAACTTATTTCATAATGAGCCTTCTTTTCAACATTAAGTTTTTTATTTTTTTGGTCAAGTTTATTGACTTGTCATTTAACTTCAACCTGAAATATTAGCAGACTGCTTTGTTCCTACTCTGTATTGGCTTGAGCAGTCTTATCAGGTCCCAAGACCACAGCTTACACTAAAAATCTGTAACAAATCTTAATTCAAGTGGGCTGCAGCATTTTAACTTTAGTAGCCCACTTATCTACCTAACTGCATGGACAGATTTTTTACTTACACCTCTTTTAATTTAAGATATGAAGCTCATAGATAGAATGGCATCAACGTAACCACACAAAAAGAGAGCAAAAACAAGACCTTTCTTTGTCTTGTAGGGTCCTCCACTGGGGTTTATGTCTTGCAAGGGGACAGACACAACCTTGGCCAGACCAGCATTCATCATGTAGTGATAGAGACGTTTGAAGGTTCTCTCACAAAGGCCCTGATGCAAAGAGAAATGGCAAAAGTCACTGCAGCCCAAAAACTTCACCTGTTCCTGACTGGTATCAAAGGCTTTCACACCACCTGCTCTTACAACCATATTTTGGGGTAGGATATCCATAAGAAACTTAAAAGCCTTTTAGTGCAGAACCTGAGATGCTCCTGAGCGTATTGTATCCCTCCAGCTCTGCCACCTACCCAAACAGCAGCAGTGGAAAAGTAAGAACTGCATGATGACATCCACTGACAAAATGTTTCTGAGGCTGTGGTTGGAACACAACTGCTTCCCTATGACAAACACCAACAGCAGCTTCATTTAGTAGGTTTGTAAAATCCCTTTTCTATCCTAGCCCAGAATTTTGTGCAACTTTTGAAGCAGGTAGTATGAATGAGTGCCTTTGATACTCAGCATCTAGATTCTACTGAGTGAGAATTTGAAAGAGTAATGAATCTCACCAATTCTTCCCTCAAGTTTCCTAATGTTTCCATCTGGTTTGAACGAGCACTTAGCATACTTGAGAGCTTCTCCATCAGAATATCATATTTGCTCCTCCTAACCAAAAAAGAGAATTATTTTACATGTAAGTATGCATATAACTTCATAAACATGAATTGTAGCTTTAGAAACTGTCAGGCACTAGAGAAAGTAAGCTAAGTATTCTCAGATTGGTTTAGGAATTCTGGTTTTCTTTTCCTCCTGTGAATAGCATATGAGATAATTTGTCTCTAAGAAAAGACCTCGAGGAGGATACAATGACTAAGCGCAAGCTGTTACTTCACTGGCAACCCACAGAAGCACTAGTTCTAATCATGAACAAGACAGGAAAACAAAACAAAAAATCAGCTAGAAATGTGTTTAAGTGAAAACAGTCCAAATGAATGGAATGATTAGTGCTACAAAAAGAAGAATTATGTTTATGCAGGCCGGTGACAGGCACTAGAAGAACCTGTTGTTTACAGCTCCAAGACAAGTTTTAAAGTGGCCAGCATCTGGAAGAGAAGTTAATAAATTGGAAAGCGTCAATTCCAGGAAACTTTGATGGTTCTGTGACAACAGAACAATCCCTCATCACAGTAAAAGGTCAAAGAGTACCCAGGAGACCCTTAAACCATACCTGTCGACATGGAAGCGAGTCAGGAGTAGCAGAATTGAGTACTGCTGTGCTCCACTCGGCAGTCGGATGACGTGGGACTGCATCGTTATCAGACCACTTCTGTCCAATACCCTCCTGTGATAATGAAGCTTTCCAGCATCCACTCTAAAGAGAAGATGGCAAGATAGCTATAGGAATAGGAACTTCTGCAAACAAATTCTAATTATACAGTACCCAGAACACTTTACCTATATTACCCATAGCCTTAATGACACATGCTAATTTTCAAAGTGACGACTCAAAGTTAGGAAGTGCCACACTTAAGAAAACCTGCGAAAATTTATTTTTATAATTAATCCAATTAAACTGAGAAATACCTCAGCTTTAGAGCCTTTAGGCACAGAGTGCCATGACATGGTTTGATGAGGGGGTTGAATCAGCATTGTATCCCCATGTTCTACTTTTCCATCCTCTCTTTCTAACTTGTGGCTATGCTGAAGTCACCGCCCTCCTTGGAACAGCTCTGGGATTCATTTCCCTCCTTGGTGAGCTGGCTTGGGCCACCAAACTAACAGAAAAGTTCCCCCTCTGTCCCCATCATCTTAGTTACCTACAAGAGCTCCCTAAGTGGCTAAAAACAATGCCAGGTGGTGTGCAAGCCACAATCCAGTCATGCCCTAAAAGCAGTGACTCTTTAGAGCAATGCTGATGTTGTCCAGAACTTCAGGACACATCCAGAAGTTAGCTCTAAGAAGATGTGTAATGCTCCTCAATCAGCAAAATACATAGCCTAGTTTGGGAGCTGGTAACTCAGGCTCCCTCCCAACTGACGAGATGTCACACAGGGAAATGCTGTGGACAAAAGGTGGCTGTCCAAGAATTCCTTCAGAACGTGGGTAAGATACTTAGGCAACAATTTAGAGAAGGAAATAAAAATAAATTTTCAGTACTAACTTTGAAGGAAAAGTTATTTAGAAAAAACAAGAACTTTCACAATAGAAACCTATTTGGAGTATTGACCCACCAGACAAATTTCTGTCTCTCTGTGAAAATATCAGGAAGGGCAATGAACTCAAGGATGAGACCAGTACAGTTCTACCAAACCAAGCACTCCTGGTAGTAAGCATGAAGCACTACAACATAGACGAGAGCTCAAATATTCACAGGAATACTTAAAAACAACCTTGGATTGAATTCCCAGAGCAAGGCACAAACTTACTTGAAAGCCCCACTGTGCAGGTCCCTCTGAAGCTCTCCCTGCCACCGAGCTCGGCCCAGACGCTCCAGAATGCAGTAGGAAAAGTCAGGGAGTTTCAAGTCAGGGTCCCCCTCCCAGCCTATCAAAGCTCTGTAACGCTGCTCCTGGGAAGCAACAATGACTAATTTCTCTCCCCATCTAAGAAACAGAAGGAAAAATAATGTCTTGTTATTGGCTCCATAAAAACAGAGAGATCAATCCCTTTCTCTCTACAAATACCACTCTTGATATAATCTGTACAAACTGAACAAGGACTAAATTTTATTAGAAGAATTTGAATGCCAGATATAAGGATTTCACTCACTTTTCAACAGCTTCTTTGTAAGTATAACAAGGCTGCAAATCCTTCTTCCTTATTTGATCAGTGATATCTACTCTCTCTTTAAAATACTGGCAGGAACCTTGTATGCCATCTTTGTTATCCAAAATCATGTGGATAGGATAAATATCATCTGAAGAAATAGGCTCTCTTTTGCTTTCCAATATTCCTGTCTCAAGGTCTATTTCTTCATATCTGAAATAAAACCAAAGTAAGGAGAAATACAAGACTGTCACAGACAATGCTGATACCTTCAGAAATTATCTTGGAAAAATGAAGCTGCTTTGAAACCTCTAAACTGGAAAAATATGAAGAGCAGAGCTGTACTCCTCAAGCATGACCAAACCTTTTCAGCATGCAGAAGGAGGGAGATGCATTATTTAATCTTTGAAAAGTCAACGATGTGGTGGGAATAAGAAACGTAGTGGGAATAAGAGAAACATACAGTTCACAGGGAAGGAAAATGACAGGTAGATTCACCCTGCTGACCAGGACATGCAAATTCTGCCTGTACATAAATAGCAAGCAGTCATTTGAATGGAAATCAGGCCGGGACCCATATACAGGTCTCCTAAATCATAGAACCATCAAAATTGATAGAGACCTTTAAGATTATCCAGCCATCCACCACTGTGGCCCCTAAAACCCATCACCCAGCTCCAGATCTTAAACACCTCCAGATATGGTGTCTTAAGAATGGGCAACTTATTCCTAAACCTGACCCCCCCGAACAGTGAAAATTCTTTGTATAACACCTAAACAGCGGCTCAGAGCCACCTGCGTGCTGTCACTGGCCACTGAAGTACTGCTGCAGCACAGACCGGCGAGAGTGGGCAGCCCGGCCACTGGGCCGGGTTTAGCCAGCAATGAGTCCGGGTTTAGCCCCTCAACCACGCCGAGATTAGCCCGGTAATCAGGCGGGTATAGCCCGAGGACCAGGCCCGGGTTTAGCCCGGTACTCAGGCGGGTATAGCACAAGGACCAGGCCCGGGTTTAGCCCGGTAATCAGGCGGGTATAGCACAAGGACCAGGCCCGGGTTTAGCACGGTAATCAGGCGGGTATAGCACAAGGACCAGGCCCGGGTTTAGCACGGTAATCAGGAGGGTATAGCCCGAGGACCAGGCCCGGGTTTAGCCCGGTACTCAGGCGGGTATTGCCCGAGGACCAGGCCCGGGTTTAGCCCAGCAGCCAGTCCCAGGTTCTCCGGCGGGCCGGAGCCGGGGCCGCCCGGTCGCTGCCCTCACCGGTCGTGCAGGCGGAGCGGCGGGCGCGGCCGGGGCAGGAGGTAGAAGCGCACGTCGGGCTGGGCGCTGAGCGCGGCCCAGAGCAGCTGCTGCGTGTCGGGCTCCAGCGGCAGCAGGAAGGGCGGCGAGCGGGCGGCCAGGCGCTGCCAGAGCGCGGCCGCGGTGATGCCGTCCAGCCCCTCCAGGGCCACCTCGTCCAGCAGCGCCCACAGCGGCTCCATGGCCTCCATCCCCGCCGCCGCTTCCGGGCCCGCGGCGCGCAGGAACTGACGGGGCCAGGCGCGACCGTCGCCAGGGAGACCGAGCAACAGGCCCGGCCCGCGCCGGAGTCAGTCTCTGCCCGGGGGCCGTGTCCGAGGACTCTGCCCCGGCATCTGCCTTCGTCCGGAATCTCTTTCCCCGGTCCGTATCCGTCCGGGAGCTCTGTCCGGGGCTCAGTGTCCGTCCCGGGTCCGTGTCCAGCTGGGGGCTCTGCCCGGGGTCTCTCTCCGGGGTCAGTGTCCAGCTGAGGCCTCTGGCCCGAGTCCGTGGCCGTCCTGCGGCTGTGTCCGAGGTCAGTGTCCGCCCAGGGCCTCTGGCTGGTGGCTCTGTCCCGGGTCCGTGTCCGTTTCCATCCTGGGGTTGTGTCCGGGGCTCTATCCCGGGTCCGTGTCCATCTGGGGCTATGTCCCAGGTCCGTGTCCGTCCGTCCCCGTGCCCGGGGCTCTGTCCCGGGTCCGTGTCCATCTGAGGCTCTGTCCCGGGTCCGTGTCCATGTGGGGCTCTGTCCCGGGGTCTCTATCCCGGGTCCGTGTCCGTCTGGGGCTCTGTCCCGGGATCTCTATCCCGGGTCCGTGTCCATCTGGGGCTATGTCCCGGGTCCGTTTCCATCTGGGGCTCTATCCCGGGTCCGTGTCCATCTGGGGCTCTGTCCCAGGTCCGTGTCCATCTGGGGCTATGTCCCGGGATCTCTATCCCGGGTCCGTGTCCATCTGGGGCTCTGTCCCGGGTCCGTCCCCGTGCCCGGGACTCCCCGCGCTCCCCGCACCGCGGAGCCGAGGCGGGGTCGGGATCTGGCAGAGCTGCCCCGCGGTCGGTAAGAGACAAAACACGCGGTTCTCTCTTTGCTACAGAGCTCCACGACACGTGCTGGTGGCACATTTAAACTTCGGAGAGTGTAAGAGCACACCTTGGCACAAGCGGCAGCGGTGTGGTGAGGATTGCTGGAAAAATTCATGTTGCTTGAATGGCAAGCCAGGTAAAATCTTTAATTAAACACTTCAAATATATACGGCTCCAGCAGTGAATACGCTGTAGGATGAACTGACCTAAAGAGTAGTAGCAGCTCAGAGAATTCCTTCCACAGCTGGGCTTTGGGCACAGCTCTTCAGCTGTGCCCTAGGGTTTTCTTGCTTGCCAGGTCTGGCATTATAAACTTATCATGGCATATGCCTTCTACTTTTAGTTTTGTGGTTCTTCTGTAGGTTGTGAAGGGTTCTGAAAAATAAGTAAAACACCTACTGTTTCCTCAGTTCTTCAGGAGCTTTATTTATAGCCCTGACAGCTTTATGCGTGGTTGAAAGAGGAATGTTTTTCAGTTTATAACCTTCTCATCTAGTGAGGGTGCAAAACCAGTGGTACTCCATAATAAATCATTCAGTGTGACCATTATATTCTCATTTCAGGTTTATGTTAAGACATGGTGACTGACTTTGATGAAAAACATGACGAATATTTAATATCCCTTCAGCAGAGAAACCGGTAATATTCGCATTTGTTACCACTTTGGGTATGAAGTATTTGTTGTATTGTATCAAATATCAGCAGGTGTTATGCAAAGTCTGATTGCTGTGCCTTAAAACATTCAGGTGTTTCTCTCTTCTTCCCTTTGTTTGCTAAAAGTTCTTATTTCTAGAGGAGATCACAATGTTTCTTCAGCATTCAACATATAAATACATTTATTAATAAAATAGTTACTTTTTCCACAGTGACGGGGAAGATTTTTGTTCATAGAGCAAGAGGTTGTAGATTCACAAGTAACTGGCAGCTCATGCTCTGTGAGGATGTAGTTATGAGGCAGAGTTGTTATGTTGTCAGAAATACAGAAAAGGGGGAAATAAGGACAGCCAGGTTGCCTTTGCAAACTCCAGTGTTTATCAGACAAGTTTCAAACATTTCTTTTCCTCTTTGTCCATGTGTTTCTGTCACTATACCCTGGATAGATGAACATCATATCTTATTTTGGAGAGTCTACAGAACTTTCTTGTTGGATTCCTTCCTTTAACACAAGAGATTTCTAATCAAATTATATAACAAACTGGTTTAGTAAAAAGACCTTGAAGGATACAATTATGTTAAAAAACGAGGCAAGTTTTATGACCACAGGTTTCTTTCCTATATAGTATCCTAAAGCAGTTTTGGAAAAGGATAAAACCAGTTTATTTAATGGTTAAACCAACTTGCATCCTTGGTATCAGAGCTCTAATTCTGACTGCTGGGGACATGCTTTTGGGAAAAGGTGGTTTGTGTCACAACACAGACACGTAGGGGACTTTGGCCTGTGGATTGACCCATCCTGGAGTCAGAGGGAAACCAGGGGAATTCACAAATTGCCACCCATATGATGCCAACCTCCTGGCCTGCTTGTCACTTCACCACAGGAATTAACATGGACTGGGTATAACCCGTGGTGAAAGGAGAGAAAATGAGAGTTGGAAGAGGGAGAACAGCTGAAACTGAGCCCATGGAAGGGCATTATTTTTAGCCAGCATTTAATTTTCTGCTATCTTTAACTGCAGTATTGGCTGGGAGCTTTCCACCTCCAGTTTGAAAACACAAATCATTGTTTTTATTCTTGAAAAGGGGTCAACAATTTTTAAGCTTTTTGAAATTTCAAGTGAAATTTTTTAAAATTCTTAAGAAGAAAGGTTAAATATGCAAAATACCAAATGGAAAAAAATAATGTAAAATAAGAAATAACATAACAATAACCTCAGAAAGGAAAAGCTTGGTCAAGTTTCATCTGTTACAGTGTGTGTGCTCATGCACATGTTACAGAACAGGAACAGACCCTAGAAGATGTATTCTGAAAGGGTTCCTTGAACTGGGAACATATTTTTCAGCTTTATGTCATGGTGTGTTGTTGTATTTATTGAAGATCTGACCATCTGTGTATGCACTGTGCCAAGATGAATTATTGGCCTTTCTCCTTCAGGCTGCAGGAGCGGTTAAAAAGAAAAGATCCCGTGCAAATCAGACTGGAGCAGCTGGAAAAAGGATTTTCTCTGTATGTGAATGGAGCTAACTCCGAGCTGAGAAAGTACCCCAGGAAAATCATCCCACACAGCTGCCTGAGAAACAGGCCCAGAGCCAGCAGGACAAAGGGTGAGTGCCCTGGCAGCCTGGCAGAGCTGGAACTCAAGTCAGAGAGGTCACTGGAACCCAGGAACACACCTCTGGAGCCTGGTGGGATGAAATTCCCTGGAAATTGGAGTGCTTAAAATGGTTGTGTGTAAGGAATAGTCTCTGCAACACCCTATCAATTTTTCACTTGATCCCTCTTTAATTCCAACATTTAACTTCCCTGCCTTTTCATTTGTTAAACAGCTCTAACTAAAAGTAGAAGATTAGAAATGTATATAAATTGTCAGGGGAAAATAATGGTATACCTTTGACACTTAACACCATTAAGAGGATTTAAGATCTGATGGACTTCAGTGTTATCCAAGCTGGTGTCTTGAGGACAAATGACATTTGATGACATAGACTGTAATCAAATTATATCCAGTAATAGCTTCATTAAGCTCATAAATTACATTTAAGCTATAATAGTTGTCTTAAAAAGATAGCTAATCTTTATTTAAATATTTGAAGTGAAGAAAATCGACCATTTTTTTCCCAGTGATTAGCTGGCTTTATGGAAAAATGGGTATTTTGTTTCTAATTTAAGTCTGTCTATCATTGAGAGCAGTGCAGTGACAGGAATAATTTTGCATGCATGAAAGTATAAAGTATGAGCTTACTGGCCTTCTAATCTATTTAGCATAATGAAAAGAAAGTTGATTTTACTAAATCCCTGTGTAAAGCAGTTTACCAGCCTTAGTCAGTTACGTTCACACTTGCTACAACCTATCTCAGAGTGGTTTTTTAATGTGTGATAGCCTGCTTAATCTTCATTTTCACCTAAAACGACACAAAGAGTTAAAAAAAGTTACCTACTATGATAATTTATTGATTGAAAGTTTATTCATCTCAATGATACCAGAAACAAACTTTTCCTGCAATAACTGTTCCAACCATGGCTCTAACTTCATCTCCTTAATTTGTTTTCCTGCTACAGTGGGCACATACTACTTGTTTGCAGGTTTAGCTGTGTTCAGCTTGTACAATTTCCTGCAGATTGTGTGAGATGGTGATGAGGAATCAGCTTGTCACCTGGCTCCACTATTCTCTGTGAAAGTGAAACCTTGTGTGTAATGATGTAAAAATGGTCATGTTCTGGGAAATGGTGGAAATTGTGTGCTCTGTCACACAGGGCTGATACATCTTCAGGTAGCTAAAGAGAGTGTAAATCAACATCTTGGACTTTTTGCTCCAAAAATTGTGAAGGGATATTGTGGCAGCAGCTCTAGTGGAGCTCTGTCGAGAAATTTTCTCTTAAAGTTCTGCTGTGCAGTTGTTGTATTTCAGCTTAACTAAAATTCTTTATTTGTATGGTCCCTTAAAGCCATTTGCTTCAGTCAAGGTAGAATACATGATTTAGGGATCTCTGAAGGCTCCAGTTGCAGTCTCTGTTCCTTTCCTCAACTCCATCTATCAGAGACTGTAGCACCAGCTCTGCAGAAGATAACTCAGTGTGTTTAACTCTCCAGTGGTGTTGTTTTAACCCCATGAAGATGCAGTGAAAGATACCAACTGAACCATCATCCTGTCTTTTTCCTCTTCCATTTGGTTTTGCCACTGGAGTCCAGAATGAGAGTCACTGCTGGTCTGTATGAGCTTCTTGCCTGGGAGTTCTACCTTAGCATTTTTGTGGTCTCTTTCATTTCAAGGTATTTCTTCTCAATGATTGAATATGATTTTACTTACAGGAATGATTCCTAGCTGAGATAAAGCACTGAGTTTTTTTCCCTATCTATCTCCCATGAGAGTTATTGCATCATTTATTACTTCTAAAGCATCCGTCTATAGGATTAGTCTTCACTGAAAAATTAGGAATGGGTGGTACTTAATAATCCAGAACAGGCATAAATCCCTCTTTCTGGTTCCTGAAAGTGTAATAATAAATCTGTTTGTCAGGGCTGTTTGCTTTGTGTTCCCTAGGAATAATTACTGATAATAGTGATTGATAAAGATTTTGTGTTTAGGATTGGTAATGAATTAAAGGAAATGATAGGTTGGAAGGTAGTGAAGCTGGGCTCTAGGTGTGTTGGCATTTCTTTGGGTCTATAACCCACACATGGTTTCACAACTCTGTTTGTAGTTCCAGTGAGTGTCTGTGTGGTCACGAATATGTGGCTTGAGGATAATGTGGGGTCTCCTTGGATTAGGATTAATATTTTGAGGATGAACTTCTCAGTCCTTGTATAGTCAAACAGGGACTGACAGCTCAAATCTCTGAGGGAATGACACCAGTGGAGCTGTTGTGTGTGCCCAGACAGGTACTGGTTGGTATTCACATCCCATCTGTCCCATGGGAAGGATATTTTTGTTCCAAAGTAATGTTTGTTGCACGGATGACTTGCTCAGCTGCATCAGCCTCTGCCTGGGATTTCAATGACTGTTTTTCCTGCTTAGAGCGACCTGGTCACATGAATCCATCACTAAACAGAGTCATGGAATCACAGAACTAGGAGGGACCTTAAAGTTCCACCTCCTGCCATGGGCAGGGACACCTTCCACTGTTCCAAGCTGCTCCAAGCCCTATCCAACCAGACCTGGAACAACTCCAGGGATGCGGCAGCCACAGCTTCTCTGTGCCAGGGCCTCACCACCCTCCCAGGGAATATCCAGTCAAACCCTGCTCTCTGTCAGTGTGAAGCCATTCCCTCTTGTCCTGTCACTCCATGACTTGTAAAGAGTCTCTTCAGCCACTTGAGCAGTTCTGAGGATGAAGTCCTCAGCAGTGGTAGCATGAGCCCTGCCATCTCTCCCTTTCCTACTTACATTTGCAGCACACTTGAGGGGCTTCTGGGCAGTTGCTTTGAAGAGATGGATTCACAGTGTAAGGGAAAGGTGCTTCCAGTTCTCTCCCAAAGCAGTGACTGAATCCAACCACACTTCTGACAGTGTAAGCTCAAGACAGTTCAGTGCCAGCAGAGCAATCAGCACCAGTGCTGGCTCAAAGGATTTCTGATGTTCTTGGGAACAGCCTATTGGAGTAGCAGGAGCTGTGGTTGGGAGAGCTGTTTCTCTTCCTTGGAGCAGTGCATTCCTTTTCCCCTCTGTTTAGTCCTGTTTTGGGCCTCTGAGACAGAGAGATACTTTGTGCTGGAGCAGTAAAAGAACATCCTGCAATGCTGTGATCACTCCAAATGGACATAAGCAAACACTTCCCCCAAGATAGTCCTGCCCTGGGCCTTCTCCCTCCTGTCTGCTTGGACCAGCTTTTGTGCAGTCTCCTGGTGAACCAGATTGCCCAAGGGCCTATAACTAAAAGGAATCTTTTATCTTTTCCCACAGTCAAGACTTGTCATGTTAGTTCTTTGAACAGTCACTGCACAGATGCATGTAGGGTTGTCCACCCTCTCCCACCCCAAAAAAAATAAAAAAAAAAAGGTATTGAGAGCTGCAATGAACAACCTGATGTAATTCTGAAGTAAGCCCTGCTCTGAGTGGAAAGGCTGGACTTGGTGAGCCCCAGAGGTTTCTTCCAAATGAAATCTTTCTGTGATTCTATGACCTTTGTAGGACAATAGCTTCTTTTATTGGTAGTGCCAGTTCCTGCAGCCTTAGGGTGACCATTAAATTATGGCTTAAAGAAAAAAGGTTTTGCATCAGCTGTTTTTCTCCACTGAGGAGAAATGGAAGCTGTAAATCTGTCTTGGCCATAGGAAATGAGATGCCTTTATTTAGGATGCTACTGAGAGTGTTGGTGATGCCTTTGTTCCATTGAGGACGCTGATGTGACCTGCAAGTTGTTTGTCTCTTTCTCTCAATCAAGGCATCTTCTCAAAAATCCATTGTTCCACTCTAAGCTGGGACCCTTTCCAGCACAGAGACCCTTAGTTCTCCTTGACCATACAGAGAATTCTTGCAGAAGTTCTTGAACCAACTCTTCCTTACCTTAGGAATGAAGGATAATGGTTGTTTGTCCTTCATTTATGGCTTACACATGAAGAATCCTTCTCTGCACAGTATGTTCAATACCCAGTACATTCTGCTTAATCTGCCAATACCTTATGTTTCCTTAATTTTGAGAGTAAATACACACAATTCCTTTGTAAACCCAGCATATCACCTGTTGTTCACCAGAACCCTGCCTGTCAGTCTGTCTTTGATAGTTGGGTACTGGACTCAGTTGGTTTCCTCAGACAGGTTACTTTCTACCCAGCTGGGGCTCAGAATGATGTGTACCCCTCTTCTAGAATGTATTTCTATATTTTTATATGAAAAAAGGTGGGACTTCCCCTGCTGTTAAGCTATTGTATCTTAAAATAATTTATTCTCTTAAAAATACTTGATAACTGTCCCTGAAGAGGTTCAAAACTCCTGCTGCTAGAACTGGCCAGGATCTGATGTGGGATATCTTTGCAGCTGTTGATTCCATTCCCCTGCCAGATTTACTCTTCTGTCCTCAGCTGGGGGTAAAACAAAAACCCACAAACTCACGAACAAAGGTATCTGTTTATTGTCTAATATTGTATTTCTGCTTTCTTTCTCCTGTCTTCTAATCCTTGTGTGTCCCTGCTGAAGAAGGAGCCCAGCTAGAAGAGAGTGGGCTGCCAGAACACAGCTCTCAGACTGCCCCAAGCAAGACACAACGCAGGAATTGGCTTCAGGTATGGGGCAGGTGGAAGAAATGGGGCTTTGATTCTTAGGTTGCAGATAACTTCAGGGGAAATTGGTTGCAAGTCGTACAGAGTGGGCAGCTGGGGCTCTCTGAGTGGCTTGGGCTGGATACTGACAACATGAAATGTTACCCTGCCCAAATTTGTGTCTCTTGGAAGCCTAAAGAGGCAAATCTTCTTGAAAGGGTTTGCTTTCAGTGGCATTCATCACAGAAACTTTAATAGCATGGACATGAGTGGCTCAAGGTGTGCACCAGCAGAATAACTGCTGCTGGATAGCTCTGATGGCACCCTAGGGAATTTATCTAGTGCAAAGGATGGAGAAACTCATTTTGGAGACGTATCCCTGCCTGTTACTACTGTCCTTCACCCTGCAAAACGGTTGAGGGACAAAGAAATGTAATTTTCATAATTTGAGTTGTAATTTGTGATAAATTCTTGTAGATCATAACAGAGGGAAATGCCTATAAATAAAAATATCTTATCTATAAGAAATTTGGAGCCATCAGCTCCAGCCATCAGTTGTTGGTTTACCAGAGAAATCTCAGAAGAGAAACCTATTTTCTTTTAGTCTAAAGAGGGATCTGAGTTAACCTGTCAAGGACTTAATTAAAAGAATAGATATGAATTCAGAACAGTGGAGACATGTCACCCAAGTAATTACACTACTTGGTTAGCCATTGGCCTGGCTGGATGTCCAGTCTGTGCTTGAGTGATGGGATCAGAGGTCTTTGACACTGTGGATCAAGTGTTTGTGCTCTGCAGGTTTTCTTTTTTTTCAGAAAATGCTTCACATTCAAGCTTTAAGGCTGCATTATTTTATTTACCACTCTTTCTGCTTAGTTGAATTAATTTTCTCAGCTTCCATTATGGCCTGTTAGGACTTCTTTGCTGAATTTACCAGATGTGTGGCTCTGTACTAAAACCTGGTTGCTACTTGGGACTATCTTAGGATGATTCCTTAAGTCCTTGATCAAGTTGAATGGGAGGATAGGAGTTATTATATCCTTATGAACAACTGGAGTTATTTAGCTAAAGAAAAGTGCAACCACAGACTGAGAAGGAGGTTGTGCCAGACAGCAGTTTCCTTTCCCAGTGATTTTCCGTGGGGATTTTTTTTGCTGTCTAGAGGACTCAGGAATTCCTGGCCAAACCTGTCAAACTTGGGCTGTGCTAAAGGATGCTGTGAAAGATGAGGAAAGATGGACTCACAGAAATAATTCACCCAAGTTGTCTTGGGATATTCCCTCTGGGACATCTCTGCCCCTGGCACTTAGAAAATGCTAGAGGAGTGTAGGAACAACAGAGAGCAAGGTTTAATATCACTGCCCACTCTGGGCTCAGCAGGTGGGGAGTCTGACCAGGGCTGTTAAACCATAACTCAGAGCCCCAAAGGTGAGCACATGGAGGACAGAAACCTTCTGTGGGACAGAGGAGAAAAGCAGTGCTTGATCATACTATTGTTATATAAAGTGTGATGATTACTCTTTTATTACTGCTGATACACAGAAGAAATTGAATTTCTGTCACACTTCTTTTGACAGAAAACTGTGGCAATTAAAACAGAAGGAGGGGGTAAACTCTACATTAAACCATCTCTGCAGTACTCTGAAGATTTTGAACCTTATGAAAGCTTGAGTGTGGAGAGCAGCAGTGATGATGATGATGGTCCTCTCTCCCAGGTACAGTTGGCAGCTGCCCTCTGTTGTTCATGGCAGTATCATTTGAAATATGATTGTGCCCAGGGATCAGCCTCAAAACTCTCTATAGTGGTGTCTTCTTTAGAGAATTTTGCTTTGATCAGATGTGACAAAAGGAAGGAAAAAAATGAAAACTAAAGCTTCTTGAAAAATCAAGTCTCAATCAGCAGCACTAAAAAATATTCAGCCTTATTTTTAGGAGGTGGAATATTGTCTCTGTTGGGTTGAATTGAGGTATTTCCTGCAAGGAGCCTCTTTCAGTTCACTTAATGGTTGTCTGAGTGAACATCACTCCTGGGTATCAGGTTAGAGAAAGCTGAAACAACAGTTTTTTGTGCCTTTAGGGTAGTCTTTAAATAATGATACTAAAATTGTTGCATGTCATTGTTTTGCCTAACAAAAATCTGACTATTTGAAAATGTTCTAATCAATGCAGTTGCTTTGCATTGAGGATTGTTGTTGTATTGACTGTGCAGCTTTCCATTTGATCACTAATTGCAGTTTGTTCTAGCACACTTCACAAATGTGAAAGAAAACTAATCAGTGAACACAAATTTATGAATGTTTTTCTGCCTAAGCAATTAATGACATAAAGACAAATTTTCTGGTTAGTGGAGTAGCATCTATATATGAAACTCTTAATATATCTTACCACTGACATCAGACAAAATTCCCAAGCATATTTTCCTAGCTTGTATCTTTTTCTCCTTCCTATGTTGCTCTTGCATTGATGATTATTTTTTGCTCTACAACCTGTTTACACTGATGGGTATTTATATCTTTTATATGGTTTTAATAGGAAGTTAACAATTTCAGAACACCCCCCCACTTTTCTTTTTAATCAAGGTGGAAATAATTTTGATTTATATAATGTGTTTTTTGAATGTCTTGTTACAATGCAGATGCAGAGGTTTCAAAGGAACAGAAAGCTTGTACAGTTTCCTGTCAAAGAGCTGGAAATATTAGTTTTGACTCTCTTAAAGACATGCTTGATATCAAGGCTCAGGTTGCTTATAAAGCCTCTTTTGGACCTGACTTTGTCTGCTCTTCGTAATATATTTCTGTCAACATGGATTTCCTAACAAGTGTGATCTGTAGGAGCTTGAAGCTTTCATTGCAAACTGAATATAGACTGTCACAGTTCATTTGTACCTAAGGTAGCTTCAGGTTTTCATTTTATACAGTTTGCTTACCTATATTTATCTCAAAACTCTAATACCAACAAAGCAGGGGGAAATAAAAAAGCATTTAAGAGATGCAAGGTCTTTTCCTTTTGCATTCATGAAAGCACACAGCTCTCCAGCATCATCTGTGCTGTTTGTGGTGTGTGATGAGAGAGGCAGGGCAGTTTTTTCCACAGTAAATTTCAAAATAGGTTATATTTTGCATAAAATCCTGTTACAGTGTGTCCACTTCAAAAAACTCAGTGCAAGCTGGGAGCTTAGTCCATTAGAGCCCATCTCTTTTTCTGCTGGTTTTTGAAGTACAGATGTGTACAAGGCAGGACTATTATCATCTATCATATGCTTGAAAAGGAGCTGCTGCTACAGGAGTTTACAGTCTTGTGAAGGCAATTTGGAAATTCTGGATTGCAGCTACTCTTCAAATAGCAAGGCACAACCGTGAGACTGCACAAATATATGCCTTTTCTCTCCCCCTGACTTGCTTTTTGTAACTTATTCCTAAAAATTGGTTTTGCACATAAAAACTTGGCCTACAGAATGTTCTTGCTGGGTACTGATGAGAAGGAGCACAGGAGTTGTAGGATGATTTTTCTTTACAAGCCCTCATCAAAGGAGGCAAGACATGACATAGGAATGGGAATATTTTTAGCTGCATCACGGCTCTGAGTTCCTCAGAAGATTTTTCTTTCTCCTGGAGAGGAGCTGGCAGCCACTGTATTTTATTCTAAAATACGAGTTTGAGCTTTTCTGACAGATGTGTTTATATTGTAGCAGGAATTGAGAAGCAGCTTGCAGCAGGGTGTAGAAGAGGAGAGGATGGAAGAAGACTCCCTTAGTGATGATTATGACTCTATTGAAGAAGATGTGTTTTCAGAACCATCTCCCACTGAGGAACCAATTACAGGCTTTGAAGGCCTTCAGCTGGATAGCAGTGGGGCACTGCAGAAGGAAGGTTCTGAACATCAGGATGCTGGGAGATGCTCTGGCCTTGATTCTCGTGCCCCAACTGTACTGGAGTTCAACCAGGATCAAAGCAGTAAGTCTGTGTCTTCTACAATTCTTCTTTACAATTATCAGTCTTTGAGGGAATTGCTTTTAAGGTTGATCATTAGGAGTTACTCCATACCCTCCTAAGTTCTCGTGCTCTTCAGCAAACCTGTTGTTTTGATCTCCTGATTTTGGACACTTGCATCCTCTTGTACTTCATTAGGAACTTTTTTTGGCAAATCTAAAGATACAGACCTGTTTACTGCACCTGGATCAGCAGCTCTAGACTCTTGAACTAAGATTGTCTCAGACTATTGGTGAGATTTCTCAAGAAGTTACCATGTTTTTAGATATATTTTTGGACTGTTTTTGCAGTAATTCAGGCAGGCAGATCTTCCCAGTCTCACCTTTATTTCACATCCTGGGTGCTGGATACATGTCCCAGTGTGTTGTCATCCCTGGTGTTTAGCATGAGCCACTTTTTGTCTCTTTCTGTGTTTGGAGACCTCAGTGTCCAAACCCACAACCAGTCATTAGGTCTCAAAGATGATTTAACAAAGGGTGAAGAGTTCAGGTAGAAACCAGACCTAAGCCTACCTTCAGTATTTCTCAAAATTCCCTCCCTACTCAGTTCCTGTACAGTAATTGGTTTTGGTTTTTTGGTTTTGTTTAACTACTTCCTTTTTATTTTTCTTTCCCTAATCTGTAGTTAATTGCATAAAGTCAGAGGAACAATCTTGGAATAAATTAAGTAGAAGAGTGTTCCTTTCATTATCATAGATGTGAGTGGAATTTGAATGGGGAGAGGGGCAGAAGAAGAGACAGGAGCAAGGGGATGGAAGTGCAGTGAGAACAAACTTTCTGTGAAAGTGCAGGACGTTTTGTCCAGAGACAAATTTCAGAGCTGTGATGGAAACAATAGAGGCATTAATAATTCCCAAATTAAAAAGTGAAGAAGTAACTTCTATGAGCTATTCTAGTCAACCCTCTCCCCCTCTGAAACTTCTAAACAAGACAACATTTGTGTCTGTATTTTAAGAATTTACTTTGGTATAACTGTGTTAACAAATGACTCGGGACTTCTTTTTTATTTTTGCTTTTCTTGACAGTAATGCAGGTAAATATCTGGCAGAGATGAGATATCTTGGTACATTATAATACTATTTTTATTTTGTTTCACTGAGTTAGTGCCAGCCATCCATATGGGCTTCTGCATCAACAGAACAGTGTCAGTGAAAGGGAAGGAAATTATCACTTTTAACTATGCCAACATAATTAAAGTGGAAAAACTTTAGCATTTAAAATCCAATAAATTTTCCTGGGCTGGCTGCTTCCATGTAACTTTAAAGTTTATTATTTCTTTTTCCTTTTTATCTTGCAGAAGCGAAGCCAGTGCAAGTTCTCTCAGCCAAAAGAAAGGACAGTGCTGAAGTGTACATTCCTGTCAAACCAGTCATGCTGAAAAATAAAGGCACTCGGCCACTCTCTGCTGAGTTCTTGCACCAGGACAGACATGAAACAATGTATTCTAGTAAGAAATAAGAATATATGATGTCAATAAGGAGAGTTTTCATGCTTTTCCCCCCTCTGGCTCAGATGCAATTTTAGTACACATCTGTCATTATGTGAATTTTTTAGCTGTCCCTTCCCTGCCTGTTTTTTTTTTTTTTTAAGGTGGGATTTTCTGTGCTTTTGTTGTTTTCTTTTAACACTTCAAATACTCTGACTTCAGTGAGATTATGATAAAGTGTAAAAGCCTGTATACTTTAATCTTCTGCCACATCTTTACTATCTTCCTTCTCTTTTTGCTTCCATGGCACAAGATTTTCTTTCTCCCTTTCAGTCCTTGTTCAGTACTTGCTCTGTGTTTCTCCCTTCCCTCATGGAGGTCTATTCCTTGTGGTATTAATGGAAATGTTGATCCCAGTCAGCAGTTGATGTTTGGTGGAAGAGTTTTAACACAACACATTTGTAGCAATACAAAATGCAGAGTTCTCTACCTCAATAAAGGCATGGTTTTTCACAGCATGACAAAAGAGACCTGTGGCTGCTTGGGACTGTAGTTGAATTACACCTTAAATTACACTGAGAGCAGTCTGCAGTGCTGGGTAGATATGCCAGTATCTAGGACCATACTGGAAAATATTTTTCTTGGACTGGAGAACATAGTTTGAAGCCACTGCTGCTTATTTGAAAAATCTGCTGCTAAGGTGTGGTCTTTACCTGGGGAAAAACCCCAACAAAGCACAGCAAACCCCAAATGCAGGGGCTGAAGTTGTGACTGCAGTTGTAGTTCAGTGCAGTCCTTAACTGAACAAGTCTGATCAGCCTGAGTTTTGGAATGTCTGAGGTGAAGTTTTCAGACCTGCCATACTCTGTGGTCAAGCTGCTCATTTCAAAGAGCAGAATCCAGATGTGTCCCAGGAAAGCATTAAGGCCAGTGGTTTTGAAAAGCCAAATAATTAGTTTCTTAATTAGCAGAAAACCAAACGGAGAAAAAGAAGTTAATTCTTTTTGGCTCCAGAATAAACCCCCTTTGTAGCTCCTGAGACCCTCACCCACCATCTGTTGAAGCAGATGTTGCTTTGACTTCCTAGAGATGTGTGCAGCATTTTCTCAGGTTATAATAGTGCTGGTTGGAGCTGTTTATGTCCAACTATTGTGATAAATCCTAAATTAATTTCATTTCAGGGGGATGATACAGTACAGAAGAATAAGCAGGTCTTTATTCCATCCCTGTTTTTGCAGAGATGACTGATGCTTGTTGAAAGTTTTTATGGGTGTATGTGCAAAGAGTGAATACAAATAAATCTCAGCTCAGTTTGAACTTCTTGGCTTTCCAAGGTGGACTTCATGTTACTTGCACTGTGCTCTCCTCCCTGCAGCACTGAGAGCACTCTGGCACTTCAGTATTTCCTCTTACCCTAAATGTCTGTACAGCTTGTCTCTTCTCTTCCCTTGACTTTTAAAGCCCTCAGATATAACCACTGTGCTTCTCTTTTAGTCCAATCTGACATCATCTGTTGTTAAATTTGATTTCCTTTCTTTCAAACCTGTTTCTAGGCTGTGATGTTTCTGTTTCTCCATGAAGTTTGGGAAGATTGGGATTCGTGTGGGCATTGTGATGACTGCTTAAGTGATAAGGTCATTTGTTTTGCCTTGTAAATAGCAGCTCCTGACTCCCCTTGTTTTGCTAGAAGTCTCTGGGGATTCCTCCAAAATAGCTGAACACCCCAATTAGAAATTCCTGCTGTGCTTAAATGATGTATACTTGTTTTCAATGGACTATTACAAGGCATTTCCACTAAATACCAGAACAAAGCAATATAAAAGCATAAAAAATATGTTTCTCATTTTGTTGGTTTTCCTCTTCTTACTATGCTATTTTAACTGTTGCCTGAAGAAGATGTGACTTGGAATCTTAGCATAAAACCAAATTGGGGGAATTCAGCTTCATTTGGCATGGTTATAGACTGCTTGCAAAGCCCTTTATCAGTAACTGAATGGAAAGTTTCAGATGTTGGAATGTTCTGTACCTGTATGTCCTGAAAAAATGAGTATTTATTCCACTTTTTTTGGTCCCAGAGCCCTTAAGTCGACCAGAAACATCCCTTTCAGTAACCAGGAAAAGTGTGTGTGAGAAGGATCCTGAATTCTCTGTTTCAGCTGTTGTTCAAGCAGTGCAGATTGAGAATGAATTCTTGCAGGGAGATCTGCAAAGGCAAGCAGATACCACAAACCCCCAAAAGGTATGGCAAAAAAAAGATGTTTTGTTCAACTTGCAAAACCCCCATGAATTACAGTCTCTTACACATTAGGATTGTGTATGAATGAATGGTGATGCCCCCTAAGTGTAATTTAATTTGTATTATTCTTCCAAAGGGTTGTTTCCTTTAATCTGCTTCCTCAGGATGGCATCCCACAGCTCCCTCTTGATTACAGGGATCACTGAGCAATGATAGAGCAGCCATATGATGTGTCTATACAATCAGATGCACAGCTGCAGGCCCACTTGAGCCATTTTCATCCTGCAAACTTCTGAAACCAGGCAATGTGTGATTGTCATCCCAATAAATCCTGCCTTCCTCCAGGACTCTTTCTTATGGACAGTGCTCCCTGTTAGTGCATGCTCTGCTTTTGGAGCAGAGCTGTCCTGTACCCTGCTAGATCTCACTGAGGATGATCTGGGGAGGGTTTTCTGCTGCAATGTGTGTTCATCTCTTACCTCCAGAAACCAGATTGAAAAACAATTAAAAACTCATAAACAAGGAAGTCAACAAAAATCAACAAAGGAGTTGAGTAGAGTCAGAGAAAGAGCCCATAGCATTATAAGAATGCAGCACTTTTCCTCTGTTTTCTTTTAGGTATCCTACTGATAGCTCTTTATTTAAAAAATTAAATAATTATTTTATGCTAATAGAATTGAGAGGTTTGGGGATTTTAAAAGACTTGAAGATTTTGGAGGAGAAAGTCTAGTAGACCTGTGCCAAAGCTTTGGCCAACCCTGAGTGCTACCAAATGTATACAATGAGATCTATTTATAAGCCTTTGTGTTTGTATTCTCTAGTCCTCAGAGTTTGCTTCTGTGTTTTCTTCCACACAGAAGATCAAGCTCCAAGCTCAGCTCTTCCATTGTAAATCAAGACCAATTCCATTAAATGTGCTTTAACTTTATAGAGTTACAGATGAACCGGGCCCAAGCTCTTACTTATTCCAGAGATGCAGATTGATGCTGTGTGGTGAGAACAATCTGAATGAAGCATGTTCATCTTTTTCTTAATTAGGAGACATTTTCTGTTTCATCTATTCTTTCTGCAAAGACTGAACCTCCAGAAAAACGCCAGACGAGGACTACAGTCACCAGAGCTGTGGAGAGATTCTGCCCTTTTGGAAGCAGGTATAGATTTATATATATTTGCTTTAGATAACTTTTTTTGTAAGAGATTTTTTTAGGATGACACCAATCCAATTACAATACCTGATAATCTACAAATACTTGAGACACCGTGCAAGTAGCAAATCAGGCAGTGCAGCCTTGGGCCAGTTTCTGTGGAGCAGGATCTGCCAGAATCTCACTTTATGCTCCTCAGATCACCTCTGCAGTCTCTTCTCACACTGCCTTAGAACCAGCTGGGAACTGGAGCACAGCTTTTCAACCAAACTCTGTATTTAAGGTGGAATGCTGCAAAAGTTGTCACTCAGTGTGTGGGTACATCATCCTGTGGGGTTCATCCTGTCATCTCTTCACCTTCACACCAACTATTTCTTAAAAATGCAGGAATTATGAGGAAATAACCCAGAATATATTGTTTCAGACAAAAGAAGAGACTCCTGAAAGCCTTTGTGGAGCGTGGGAGCCATTCTGCCTGTGACAGTGACAGATCCCTGGCTGGTGGCAAAGCTGGAGTAAATTCCATGTGGAGAGAGAAGGTTTGTGCATATGTGCACCATAACTGGTGCTTCCCAGTGTTACTGAAATAAAAGTACATTGAATGGGCTGTATCCCTCAGTTCTGCCCTGCATCAAGTAATAAACCTATGGCAGGGTAAGGAAAGAGAATTTATCACTGTTCATCAGAATGACAGAGGAATCAGACAAAGAACAGAGAGTTAGTTGCCTTCTCTTCAGGCCTTTTAAGAGTGTTGATGTGTGGCAGAATTGGCGTAACCAAAAATGATTGATTGAATGTCATCCAAATAGCCTTGACTTTGCAATCTTTTTGCTTCTGACCCATCAGTTTTGCAGTCTGAACAATCTTTTGTTTCACATTTTATTGGTCAAGTCACTGATGTTTTTACCGTATTTCATTTTGGTCTAGGTGACAGCCAGTGTGGAAGTACATGATGCCATTTATGTGACTATGGAACTTCTTTCCAACTGGGGGGATCCAGCAAACGTGGGCCTGAGCCAGGTGGAATTCTTTGATTTCCACAACGAGAGGATCTTTGTGTCTCCTCATGACGTGGACATAAGAAATGCTGACAGCCCAGGGGATTTGTGCTGCCTGGTCAATAAGAACTTAAATGTAAGACAGCTTAGTGCTGGATGTTAAAATCTCTCATTATAATATTCCTATAATACTCTATCTCCAGTTTTTTTGTTCAGAAACATTTTGAACCTGGCTGTATAACAGCTATGTGATAATTTAAAAAAACCCTACAAATAATGCTTATTATTAACAAATGCAGCTCTCCTGTTCAAGATGTTGGTATTCATTTACAACTTTGTTTTAGAAATGGAGTAATCCTTGTGGTCTCAAGGTACAGGAGCTTCACTGCTAATTTTTTTCAGATGGATAATACAAATTGCGGTAAATTTATAAAGAAAATGTGCCTGTTTTCTCTTGTTCCTTTGTTATCTTTTTACCTTGGGAAGAATCATGGAAATATAAGACTGTGTAGGTAGTTTTGAACAAGAGATTAAGAAAAATATATGGCAGGTAAAAGTGTTTAATGGCTCTTGTGTGAGATACTAAGATGAGGAAATATGAGGTGCTCCCACACTAATGACAATGGGTAGAAGATAGTAACTGGTGTGAAAGAATTAGCAAATGTCCACAGCCATGGTTTCATTTGTGCTGCACATTCACTCTGTGCCATTTTTCATGGGCCTGTAGAGCAAAGATTCTAGTAAAAAATTAGTATGATTTTAGTGGATGAGGATACTGGAGGACTTACTCTATTAAAACTATAAATTACAGTTCATTTCATGCTAATGCTGCTATTCTGCTCTCAAGGTAGATGAGATTTGAAAGAGGACAAATATGCAGTATTTTGAAACTCCTTATGGAGTATTATTTGCAGACAAATATTTTTACTTGAAGCATCTTCCTCACTGTCTCCTGAAAATTGTAGTTGGGATCTCATAAATACCCATTCTCCCTTTTAGGCTGTGCTGGCTGGCAGGTGACACTCAGTAGTAGTGGCAGTAGTAGCAGATCTAATAGTGACTCTCAGACCCTCTAGATATTTATAAATTATGTAGTAATACATTCATTAAGCCATTATGAACCTGTTACTCTCAGTATTACTCATACATTTACAGATCTCATTATTCTTAAGTAATGAGCTTTTATATTGCATTGATTAATATATTCCCTTGATTAGTGACTCTGTGATCTCCTCTCTTGAGGCTGCCTCCAAGATGCAATCTGGGCAGGGAATAAGCTCTTAGGCTGTGGGTATGGGGTGCCTGAACTACAGATTCCTTCAGAAGGCAGAGCAGCACTTCCAGTTTGTGTACATTTCAGATAATACAGGAAAGCTTCAGGGTGCATTAAAAACCAAATAAATTAATCAGTCTCTGAGCAACAAACATTTTCAACAGAACAAAAACTTGAAATAAAAACTTATTGTGTGGAAAACTCATTTTACCATGGTTAAAACACTTCCATCTCTGATAATTTACGTGTACTTTTGTCTTTGAGAATACTCTTATTGAAGATGAGGGATTTTATTTTATTAGTTTATTTATTACCCTTGCAGACTTTAAGAAGAGCACTTAAACTGCTTCCTTCCTTGTATTTGATGATGTACTGTAAAAGAAAGAAATGCCTGGCAGAATATCTGGTGCTCTCAATTTTTTAGATTAGATAATAGGGAAGGAATTCTTTACTGTGAGGATGGTGAGGCCCTGGCACAGGGTGCCCAGAGAAGCTGTGGCTGACCCTGAATATGTGCAAGTCCAAGGCCAATTTGGCTGGGGCTTGGAGCAGCCTGGGACAGTGGAAGGTGTCCCTGTCCATGGCAGGGGGTTGGAATGGGATGATTTTTGTGGCTCCTTCTAATCCAAACCATTCTGGGATTCTGTGATAATATTTTGTAGGTCACAGATCAAGTATTTTATTGAAATTGTTTTCCACAAACCTTTTTAATTCTTATATGCATATAGAGTTCTTTTAAACCTCAGAATAACAAGGACAGGTAAAAATACAAGAAAGGTGTTTCTTCCCCATTGGGAACCCTTAGACCTGTGTCACTCCTCTTCACAGTGTTTGAGGCTTCCTTTACTCTCCATCATTTACACACCTTCAGTGCCCACAAGAAGCAGTGCCAATCTCCCACAGAATCTTAAGATTAAAGGTTTCCACTCTCCCCTTTTTCCTTGGTCCAGTAAAAATGTAATTCTGGCTCCTTAAGTTCACCCTGGTGGTTCAAAGAATTTTTGGGTTAGATTTTTCAGCTCCAGGACAATAATCCCAGGCTCAAGTACCTCTTATGAAGGCAAAGACTCTTTGGGATAAAACATGAGAGTCCTCCACAGTCTCTTGAGTTTTGGCATGGATCTTTCAAGGTGCCTTGAATTTCTGGTGTCAGATCTTTGACACCCTGATGGGGACTGTAACACCTGCGAGGTTGTGTAAGCTCAGCCCTCAGTTATTTGCACTGATGAACAAAATGATCTCCATGGCTGCCCGTCTCTCAGGACACAACACTCAGCCTGGCTCTGATAAATCTCTGTTTTTTGGAACATCGTGTGCAGTTTTACAGAGAAACCAGTGAGAAGCAGGATCAGGTCATTTTGGTGCTGAATCAGGTACCCTGTGAAGGGACCTCTGGCTCTCCGTACACACCAGAACCTATTGATTTCTGGGGAGGCAGCTCCTGCCTCTATCCTGCAGATGGATTGCTTATCAGATGTCTGCAGTTGGAAAATCGTTTTTTAACCGTTCTTGTTCAAACTATGGCTTCAAAAACATGATGCAGCTTTGAAGTTGACCCTGAAGTTGGGTTGATAGTGATTTGAGGGCTGTCCTTCATTTCTTTGATGTCAAGAGGCTTCTTTCTTTTTAAGTAGAAAGGATAAAACCTGTCTGGCACTCTTATGGCTGCTGGTGCTCCAAACTGGCATTAAAGCAGAAACAGTCTCCCAAATCTCTCTGAGAGGCTCGGGGCAGAGACCCACCAGAGACTGGAGAAGTGGAGGGAGGACCATGGTGAGAAGTGGATCTATTGATGGTGGCTCTGAGCAGGCTCCGGGACGCTGTCCTTAACGTTGTTTGTCACACAGCTAAAGGACTCTGGAGGGAAGGTCTGGGGTTAAAGCCTTCTGGAAAAATGGAAACACTCCAGAAAGAAGGGTGTGGAAAAAGGCTGCCTGTTATCCTGTGGGTGTGTGTCTGTGTGCTGTGTGTCCCTGAGAGCAGGAGGGGAACTAATTCATCAGCTACTTTCAGATCACTGGTATGTTACCCTCACGTGGGTAACACTGGACATCAAATATATTAATATTCAAAATTTTGGTTCTGAAACTTCCTTCTTTCTGAGCTGCCACATATCCTTTTCTTACATTCTGAACATGTAGAGGTAGCAGTTCTTAACAATGTCCAGAATTAGGCATTTCTTGGTAATTTAAAATTTCTTGATTGCCAGTTGTATGTAAAATTCATGTTGGGAATTCTGTGATGTCTTAGAAAATTTCCAGTGTAGCATCCATTACAGCTCTGAGGAGCAGACCTGTAAGTGAAGCTGATTATCTTCAAAGCCTGATTAAAGTAGAGGCAGGCAGTAAAGTAAAATTCTTTAAGATTCCCATCCTCAGAGGACGAACCAGAAGCAAAGGAATTGTAAAATGATTGTAGAATGTCCACTGTGCTCAGTGATCCCCCCTAGTGCCAGCAAAGCTGATTAATTTGATAAAAATAAACTGGGCTTGCTCTGCCTGTGCTCTGAGCGTGCAGATGGCTCCCTGGGACAGCAGGCAGCTGACCTTTAGCTCATTGCCAGGTTGTTGGGAGCTGTCTGGCAGGCAGGAGAGTGGGATTTACTCTTGGGAAATGAGGCTGAGGTTTTGCTCTTTACGTAGCAGATTTTATGAAACCTTTACTTTTCTAATGGCTGCCTCTGCTGCTGGGGGGTGGGGAGTTAATTAAAACACCTGCTCCAGGAGAAGGAGCATTAGTGACAGTCTGCTTGTCTGTGTTTTTAGCTCCCCAAGGAAAGCTGCCTTTGGATGTGCCCTTTCCACCCACCCGTCCAACTTTACTTTGTTATCCGCAATCCCACCCGCTCACGTGACTTTGGTATATCCAAGATCAAGATCTGGAATTACAACACAACAACTCCCAGTGTAAGTAGTCTTTTCTTAACTCCTCTGTATATTTGCTCTTGCCTTGCCTAGGGAAATTCAGTGTGATCTTCTTTCTAAAAGCATGAAATAAAAGCAGATACAATTTCCTGTAATAAAACAGGAGCTATGAGGTGTCCCTGTCTGCTGTGAAATTTGCTTTTGTCTTAATTGTAAGTGCTAACAATGTAGTGATAATGTTTTCATGGGCACAATGAGCATTTGCTTTCAAAGCTATTAAAGATCACTACAGACCAAATAAAAGGCTTGCACGTCCTGTCATTAATCCTTTACTGTGGTGAGAAATAAAGATACAAAGGTAAGTGCATCTCTATATTCAGGGCTTTCAGCTGTTTAATCACGATGTAAATAAATATGTGTTTAAATATGTGTTTTCTGCTGTCTACAAATATAAACAGTCTGGCTGTTGCTCAGTTTGGGGTTTATCACTTTAATGAGAATCATAAAATGGTTTGGGTTGGAAGGACCTTAAAGATCATTGAGCTCCAGCCCCCCTCCCTGGGCAGGGACAATTAAAAAGTCCACTACTGTGTGCTCATAATAAAACCAGAAATCTACTGTTACAAGAGAGACATATCATGGCAGATGGCAGATGGTCTCTTGTCTGTGTGCTTGAATGTCACCATGAATATTATTCTTGTTTGTACACTGCAGTGTTAAGAAAAAAATCTCAGGTACTGGATCAAAGAGGATTTGCTGTCCTGGATTATAAATAAGAAGCTTTATCCTTCTGGGTTTGCTCTCATCCATGTTCTTATATAAGCACATATGGTAATTTATACATATGGAAATGGCCGTGGAAGGGACAGCTTAAACAAATTTACTACAACCTGATTTATATTTCTTTTCCTGGAATTTTAATAGCTTTTCTCGCTAAAATGTGGTCTACAGGATGTTCCATCATCATTAGAGTGTGCAAAGGGCTGCTGTTCATGGAGGTAATGGTATGATTTGTTACCAAACCTACTGAATAGAATGCAGGATGTACACAGAAATATTTGTCTGTGTTTCAAGGCTCTGCTTGTTTAATAACCTGCTATGAGGCAACGTGTAAAATCCATTGGGAGTATAATCCTATGGATTTTGGTGGAAATGCAGCAGTTTACCCTTGCTGAAGAAATGTCTCATTATCCTTAAGGTGAAAGAGTAATACAAAGCAGTTCTGCCTTAGTCTGTAATTTGTCATGAGGCAGTTTTGTCTAAGAAGTATGAAATCCCCAAATACAATGAATGAACAATTTTCTTCCTCCTAATGTAAATCCAGAGCCAGATTTCTGTGTGGATTTTGGGAATCATTCTGACTGCCTTCTTTCCCTCAAAAACCATGTAATTGAGAGATGTCCAAGTACTGCTTCCAAAAATAGGCCAAAAATTAACTCAGGCTGGTACTTTCCTATATTTGAATTTCAGAACTTGAGCCTGAAAGGAGAAAAAATATGTCTGAAGGAAGCTGTAAAAGTCAGATGACATCATTGTCAGAGATTCCTTGATTCATTGAATTACAAGGAAGGTCTCAGAGGATGCTTCATATTGCCTTTATTTACTTCAGATGAGACCTTCAAAAGAGGAGGTGATTTTTAGTCTGCAGGAAGGGAACAAGTGTAAGGGCAGCCAGTTTTTTTTCAACTTTATCTGCAAGAGTCAGACATTTTCTAACTACTTGATACGACCTTGAAATTGCATGGTTAATGGTGCTATTGAAACTTTTTTCAAAGATCCAGTCTAATGTGTGTTGTATGTCTTCACAAAACTGGGAATGGAATCAATACCTAAATGCATTAAGGTCTTGTTCTCCAGTTGAATAATTCTCTTCTTCAGGTGGTTGCCTGTGTGTTTGTTCCTTCTGTGCCTATGTTCCTGTCCATTCTCTTGGGGTTTTTTTCAGTGCTGGATTAACCCTGGGGTGCCTGTAAGGATGCAGCAGCTTTCTTCCAGCACAATCAGTTTTGTAGAAGTATTTTCTTTGATTCTTAACTTCTTTTCTGCTGCTTCTTTTTCGCACTTTTCTGAAAAGTCAGGCAGAAGCAATTTCAGGTCCTCTGTCTTGAAGAACTCTCAGAAAAGTGCCTCTGGTTTTAGGCTCTGTCCTTTGTGCACAAATATCACAAAAATGGGCAGAAATACCATTCCTATTTTCTCCTTGGGAGGCACTATCCCAGTAAACACCCTAGGAGGGCTGAGGATGCAAGTTGGGAAGGAACATCAAGAGGAACCAGAATTATTTTCACAAAATCTTTTTTCTTTCTGACAATGCTCATACCTACTTGCTTGTCCTGAGACATTGTGCCCTTTTAATTTCTCTTCCAGGAAGGAAAAGGCCTGCCTTGAATGAAGCATTGAGTGGTTGTTTACAGGGTGGGATTACTCCTGAGGAAGGGATTTTTCCAGCCTCCTCACGCTTGAGGAGAGCTGAGCAGTGGTACTGAGGAAACTAAACTGTCAGTCTTTTCCACCAGAACAGATCACTAAGCAACTGGAAACTCAGAAGAGGGGTGGGAGGGAATGAAAAAGAGCAGTTCTTAGTCTTGTGCCTGCATATGTTTGTTCTTGGAGTCTCTTGGGATCTGTTCAGATTTTTCCTCCCTGAGGCTCAGTCTGCTCAGGATTTTGGTGCAGATTTTCATTAGCTCTTCTGAGCTATAAGCTCTTGGAATTCCTACCCCAGTTCCAGTCTGTCTCTATTATCCTAGAAATACCTGGCTGCTTCATCTTGGTCTTCAGACCTTTTCTGCTTCCTAAAATATCTATCCCAGACATTCCAAAGCATCAGAGAACAGAGTCTCCCATTGACTGGAAAAACATTTTTGAAGTGAGTGGCTCCTTTTTGGGCTTGACTGTCCCTTATTCAGGGAGAGTGAGCTCCACCATCTCATTTTGTAGTGTTTTCTCTGCCTACCTGACCTCCTCTGCTGCTGGTGAGTGCAGTGGGATTCATTTCAAAACAAGTTGTTCTTAAAAAGTTGCTGATTTAAAATTAAAAAGATGACATTGACCAATACTTTTCAAATGTACATCTGTATTTTTGTGGTCCTCTTCAGTGTATACCTATTTCCAGATAAAAATGCAGAACTAAGGGCTGGGTATTCCTAACAGCAGTAGAGCTGGAATGTTATGGAGAAATGTTCCAGTTATCCCAAATTACACTGTGAATATTCAAATATCTCTAGTATTTAAGGAGGACATTGGCAGGTTAGACATATAAAAATTTTAAAAATAGCATTATTGAGACATCCTAATAATCTTTCTCTTCCCCATCATAATTCCAGGCAAAGCCATGCAGGTAGTTTTCAACAGATGTAATTATTGAAATGTTCTGATCCCCAGTTAGATCAATCTAGCAATGCCCTTATTCAAGGGGAAAAAATATCCTGTTTTATGGCTGATTGCATCAGCACAAGAATACAGCACTTTATGATCCTACAGGAGTTCCACAGGCAGCCAGGCCATAATGGCCAATTAAACTGGTTTTACAGCTGTTCACTGGGAACTCAGTGAAGGTGATCTTTTTTCTTATCAGGAATGTGTCCTGTGTTCCTGCACCCAGTCCCCTCCCTGTCCTGTAGCATTCTTGTTATGCCTGCATCTTCTGTTTTTCCTCTGGCTACATCCATATTGCATTTTTTGGCCTCAGAGATGTTATTATTAACAGGATGGAAGCTATGAAAACTTGTAAGGCTTAAACAGTGTGCTCAGGAGTGAAGAAGCAGAGACTTTCATGCTTGGAAGGGAAGGAGTGATTGGTTTAGTCTAGGAGCAGAGGAAAATGAAAATCAGTATTCAAGGAGAACTGACAGGCTGGAAATGAGCAAGAGGGATGAAACTGAAACTTCTTACTTTCACAAAAAGCTTCTTAGTTTTCACAAAAAGAAGGAAAGAACAGAGAGTCCCTGAAAGACTCCACGAGATGGACAAGTTAGAGAACAGAAAGGGGATGGATTGTATCTCATCTTCTGTATTTTCTTTGAAGATAATGGTATTTTTGTCAAGAGGGAGAAAAGGTTATATTGAAATGGTGAAGAGAATAGGAAGAACATTAGTCCTAACTTCAATGGAATAAAAAAATCAGGTATTGGTGAGTGCCGCAGAGAAGGAGAACATAAAGTTGTGAGTAGCAGAATTGTGTCTGAGATGAAGGCCTGCTGTTTAAAAGGCTAGTTAAGTGTTGGAATAGGCTATCAAGGCAGATTAGTTGAAAACTGTTACAATCAGATTTCCTCACAATGCTTTAGGTTATTTTACATTCTTCAGTGGAAAGAGATGGACTGGATGATTTTTTTTTTCTCGCTGCACTTTCTAGCTCTGCATTTCTGTAACTCTGTAACTCTTTTTAACTCTGTGGCTTTGATCTGCATGGTTGTTCACTGTGGAACATGTGGTGAAAGTGGTGAATCTTAGGGATGAAAAGCAAAATGTGCCTCTGGAATTGATATCCTGATCAAATATAATTGTACTTAATCTAGGCTTTTTTCCCTCAAGCTTTTCTAAATAATCAAACCTTGTCAGGCAAAGTGATAGCAGTGTCTAGCAGGTTCCCCATCCTTTTAGAAAAAATCTTATCTATTATACAGTGTTTTTTAGTCATTTCAGCTTTAGATTAAAAGGCAGTCAAAAGCATGTACTGACACAGGGTTTAATTGTTTCCATCTGTTTATTGATTAAGAGTTCAAATGTCAGAGTCCCAGAGCTGTGATATCTAGTGCTTGAAAGCTTGACTGAAATCTTCATACTTTTATTTTTGTAGAACCTTGACGTTGGAGCAAAGAAGGTGAAGTTGTATGTTGATGAGAACCTTGTATTTGATGGTGAATTAGAGAGAGGCTCTGGAGACCTCCTTGCTGACCAGGGCACCACAATTGACCTTACAGATCACAAGCAAGATAGCTCAGCCTCTCCCTCAGCTGAGAGGAAAGAAGGAAATGCACCTGCAGGCCCAGACAAGAAAACAGACCTGCTTTTTAAATGCTCAGAATCAAACAGTGCTTCACTGAACTGGACAGCTCTGCCAGAAGAAAATCATCTTGAGCCTAAGATTAACTCAATCAGCTTTACAAAGAAAAATTTGTCTCAGTTAGAGGATGATCTAAAAGTGTTCCCATCTCAAGTTTGTATAAAAGATGCCAAAGAGGAGGCAGCAGCAGTTCCAGAGAATGTTCAGTCTGATGATGAGCTTTGTTTGAGTGACCAAATGGAAAAGTTAACAGGAAGAAAACTGACTGATTCTGCAGGTGCAATTCCTTCTTGGTTACAGTCATCTTCCCAGGTAACACAGAATAACCAAGTCACTCCCAGTAGGCAGAAGCCTCCGTGGCTTGCTACAGAACAGAATTTCAACTCAAGATTTCAAACACAGCCAGATGAAATAATGAAAAACTTCTCAGATCTGATAAATGAGGATGTCAAATGTCAGAGGCATGAACTGGGAGGATCCAGTGGTAGAAATGCAACTGGAGATGGGAGATCACAAACGTTGACCAGAAAGGATGCTGATGTGGACTTGGACATTTTTGACCACATTTCTAACAAAAGCTGCTGCAGTTTACAGTACCCTACAGGTGGAAGGAGAAGTGTAATGTGTGGTAAAAAGCTGGGATTAAACACTACAAATCACGGAGAAGATGATTCTGCTCTCAAAGGTAAGAGGTCACAATAGCAACCTTAATCCAAGTGCTGATGTGTTCTCCATTTTGCAGAGCCACAAATTTATTTTAGGTGGGAAGGAACCTCTTGAGATTCCTGGAAGTTTAGACAGGGCATATTAACTTGGCTAATTGTGTTATTTTCCTCCTGAGTATACTCAGTCTCTCTCCTGGTCCTACACCTGATATGAAACACTCTTCAGAAAAATTTACATTCTGATTTAGGGGCTTATAATTTATTTGGAACAGCTGGAAGGCAAAATTTCAGTAAATTACATTTTAAAAATTGACAGTCCTGCATACAGCAAATGTTTGCTAATATCAATTAAAATCTGCAGAGAGATAAAGAACATTACATCCCAAATTTGCAGAGTTTATTTGTGCAGTAGCTTTGTGTCTTTCTCAGTGAGAATAGATGCTCATTACATTTATTCAGAGTGAATGGAAAATTACCCTTATTTTTCTTCTCTGCTCATAATTTTACAAACCTCTCCCTCAGACATCTTGCTTATTTATGAAGAGTTTTCTAATAAATTCAGCTGTTGTCTGCTCTGTGCTGTTGATTATCCTTGTCCTCCTACCCTATACCTCTTGTTGGAGGTGGATCCAGCTTTGTGCAGTTGTGTTCTGCCTCTGCCAGGATCCAGCAGTGTGTCCTCAGGGAACAGTAGAATTGTGCAACTTCCCAAATTTCCCTTTATCCCAACATCTGGAAATCCATGGCTATGAAATTGTCACGACATGAGATAATACTTTTGTTTTTAACAAGTGTAAATAACAGAAAAGTAGAATTTCTTACCCACAATTTCTACTGTGTCTCTCTTTCACGCAGCTTGTCATTGCGTGGGATATATGTTTGTCTTCCTTTTTCTGTTTCAAGCCATGTCACTCTAACTCCTGGTTTTTGGACCCTTCATACCCCTTCCTTGTCATTCTGTAATTATTCAGCATTCAGTATCTTGTCTCAGATGACGAGTTAATACAACAAGGACAACAAGACCCAGACAATTGGAATAAAATGTTTCAAAACTACAAATTGAAATTTTGGGGGTGATTGAACATCAGAACAATTTACATAAAAATGTATCTTGCTGCATATTGAATTTGTGTGTTTACATGCAAGTAAGGGTGACAAGAGACAGCAAATTCACCTACATGAAGGCGTGCCAGTTCAAATTCTACAGCAGGTAGTGCAGGGCTTTTTTCAGACAAAGATGAGGAAAGTGGTTCTCTCTAAACTTAGAATGTCTGAATTTTTCCTTGTCTGACTCTCTGTGGAGAAAACAGCAGTTTAATCAGTGTCTCTGGAGTTATATTTCAAAGAAGAGAAGAATAGAGAAGTTTGGAATAGGTGCCACCTGCCCTTCACCCACCCCACTCCCTGCAGCCCATTTACTGTTTCACACATTTCACAGTATCTGTTACATGAAAACCTTCATATTGTGAAAACTATAAATAAGTACCACCTTGAGAAGTTCTGTTCAGTTTTGAAAATGGAGAAAAATTAGAAATTTCAATGTAAACTACAAGATGAGGGTTATAATTTTTTAGTGTAAATTTTCTGTGATTTTGCTCAGAGCAGGTTGTCCTGTGGTACTTAAAGCTCCCGATGTGTTTTAGTCCCTGGGAAATTGCAGCAGCCCAGCAGCTTTTGCTCTCTCTGCTGTGTGGGCAGGGTAAAGCCACCTTCAAATGGAGCTGAGAGAGCTTTAACAACAGGGAAACCTTTTAAGTTTTTCCCTGAGAGTGCTGGATTTTAATTGGCCTGGGGCTGGGAGAAGGGCAGTTCCCAGTGGAGGGTGGGACAAAGGGAAAACTCAGAGGCTCCTGTGGATGTCACAGCATGGATTTGGTCACTAAATGGTTCACAAGAACAACAGAAATTAGTAACAGCACGTAATGTTGCTATAATGTTAATGTTGCTATAAAAACATCAATTTTTCTTTGATAACCAGTTTAATGTGCGAGGGAAATGGTGGGAGTATGCTGATAAAATTTGCAAATAACATATAATTTGGTTTATTATGAGTTAAGGAGGTTGAAGAACTACACAGAATGATGAACTTGAGGACTGGAGCAATGGAATGCAATTCAGTAGAATGCTTGCAGGCTCATCTGGGGACTAATAACCAAAAATTAAGTTGTAAGCTGAGTAATCATCAATTGCAAATGACCGAGGAAGAGAAGAATCATGGTTGAGTAGCTGATAGCAGATTGACTGAAATGCTGGTGTGAGCAGTGATTGGAGCAGTGCACTCCCAGGATGGATCAGCAGAGGCATTTTGGGTACTTGGGAAACCTCAATATCTCAACACAGGCACTTGTGAGACCTCACTTGGAAAACTGCAGCTCTGATCATCCATTTTCAGAAAGCTGATTACCAAGTGGGACAGATACAGAGGAGAGCTTTTAGAATGATTTGGGAAATGAAGCATGTGATTGCAGCATGGAAATATGATTGCTGTTTAGAACTGCAGGGAGTAAAAAAAGAGATTAACACAACAGAGGGAGAAAAAAGGTGTCTTTTTTCCTATGTAGTCTTGCCCCAAAAAGTAGTTTACTAAAGTTTCGAGAGGAACTGTATGTGGTGTGTGTCACCATCAGAAACTGAATTGGTGGTTCAAGATACTCCTGAACCCAGAGAGGAGTTGGATGTTTGAGGTGCCATTAATAAATAATGCATTTTATATTCTTAAAAGAAAAAAGGCACACCCTGTAAGCCTTCAGCCATTGGTGTCTGCTTTTAGGTCACCTCTGCTTTCCCTTCAGAGCTCCACTTCTCCTGTTATCACTCCTTAAAGTAGCTCACAAACCTCTTAACTTGTCCTTGCACTGCCCTAGAAGGGTTTCAGAATTGTAATCTCTGGACTGTTGGGAAAGAAAAGGGAAAAACCCTCCCAAACTAGGAAAGTCAGTGGATGTTACATACTCCTCTGTACTCTGCTCATCCTGAAATTTTCAAGCTTTGACATTTTCAAGGGCTAATTATTTGTGCAGTGCCTTGTCCAGGTGAATTGTGAGGCTCTGGGGTGTATTGTTGGGGATCAGCCACTCTTGAGTATCTGTAGTGGTAGTTTGAGCAAGAAAGTGACTTAAAAATGTCTGATATTCTCTGAAATATGAACCTTTCCTTCACATCTGCATTTTCCTTGTGGTCTAAGGAGGAGTTCCAGGTTGGTCTCCAGCCTTTCACTCTGGAAACCCTTTTCCAGGTAGTTTCTCATCTGCTTTAAAATTCTTAATTTTCTCTCACATGTCCCCGCTGTAAATGATTATTTGCCATACATAGATTAGGAACATTGCATCTTTCCAGTATTTCCAAAAACACAGTTAAAAGTTAGTCTTGAGCAGTCTTTTGGGAAAATTTTGTTTTGCATTTCACAGCAATTGGCATTTATTCTTGAAAACCATTTGTTTTAGTATCCACCCAAGGACACTGCACAGAAGTAAAATTTGGCCCACGGGCCTGTAATTGTTCAGTACTCCATTTCCTTTTCTTCATTTATTTGAAGAAAACACATGAGTGACTGCTTTATTGAAAACCTTGGTTATTATCTGTTCCTAATTGTTTTGAGATGGAAATGAAGCAGTTCCCCAGTGCAGCCACAAGGAGAAGATGCTTTGCTCCCACTGGGCCCCTCTGATTTGTTGCCCTCCCATTGTTGCATTCCCATTGGATATCTTGTAATTATCCTCTTTCTACATCTCACACGTGCTGAAAAATAGGAAAAATATTTGGAGATACCTGCCTAGAATGCTCATCTCATCCGTCCTGTTTGCTGAACCTGCTCCTTTCCCAACCACTTTTCTTTATACACCTTTGGCTCATTTTGAGAGAAGAACCAGCTTTTCTCTGTAATACCTTACATTAACCAGTTCAGCCATTTCCAGCTGTAGGAAAGACCTGCAGAGGGCTGTTTTAAACTCCTGTAACAGCCACACAATAAGTATCACTGGGCAAAAATCCCAATTTCTTTAAGGGCTGAGGCAAGAATTCAGTGTTAAACTTAGTTACAGTTTGTACCATGGCAGGAGTTCTGCTCCTCCATAGGTAAAAGTTATTTTGTTCATTGTGTGTGAGTGGGGAAGGGAAACTGGGACAGGTGGCCTTTGTGATAGAGAGGAAAAGTACAAGTGCTGCTGTCAGAGAATTTCCCAGTGAGGGACACGACATTGTTTTGCAGAGTCAGTGCTGGTGTGGTTTGCTCCCTGTTTGTACATTAAATGCCTTTGTAATGTTGCTTTCAGATGAAAGTTTTCCCATCAAGGATGTAGCAACCTCTAGAATGAAGTGGTGCAATGAGCAAGAACACACTCTGCAGGAGTCCTGGAACTCCTTGGTGAAATTTAATTATTCCCACCGTGGTCGGATCTCGAACATGGATTTTCAAGGGGATATTTTTGATGAGTTTCTCCATCAGCAGAAAATCAACCGGCCTGGAGAACATCAGAGAAAAGAAGGACTACAAACACTACCAAAGAAGCAAGAGGAAGAAAATTCGGTGGATATACAGGATGGAAGTGATTTTAAAATCCCTGTTTTACCTTATGGGCAGCACTTGGTGATAGACATCCGAACCACATGGGGAGACAGACATTATGTTGGTCTGAATGGAATTGAAGTTTTCAGTTCTAAAGGAGAGCCTGTTCAGATTGCAAAAATAACAGCTGAACCCCCTGACATAAATATTTTACCAGCTTATGGAAATGATCCCAGGATAGTAACCAACCTAATAGATGGGGTGAATCGGACCCAGGATGATATGCACCTCTGGCTGGCACCATTCACCCCTGGAAAACCTCACTTTGTCTTTATTGACTTTGTGAATTCCTGTCAGGTAGCCATGATCAGGATATGGAATTACAATAAATCCCGAATCCACTCCTTCCGAGGTGTGAAAGACATTATCATGGTGCTGGATGAGCAGTGCATCTTCAAAGGAGAGATTGCCAAAGCCTCAGGAACCTTGTCTGGAGGTAGGCTGTAAATTCTGATTTTCCTTGTGGAAACAGCACTACAATACAAACAAAATACATTTTGCTTGTTTGTTATCATTTTCCACTTCAAAGCAAGCTGGCACTTTGTCTGGCGTTTAATTTAAAAACATAATACAAAGCCCATTAACGCATTCGTCACTGATACTGAGGATTTTAGCATCATACAAAGCTAATCTCCGTTTTTAACTATATCTTAGCAACCAGTCTGTGTTTCAATCACATCAGATAGGCACTAGAAATTTCAAAGTTGCAGCTTTTTGCTTGTTTTCATATACATGGTCTTTTGGAGAAGGTGAATGGGAAGATTTTTTTTCTATTTTCTATGTTTCTGAAATCTGACTGAATTCTCTAGTGAATTCGCTAATTTTCCATTGAATTTCCATTGGAGAAATGTAATTTCCATTGAAATAAATGACCATCAGACAAATTGTCCAGAGAGTTTCTGGACAGCCCAAAAGCTTCAGGAGCAGTTCCTGGTCCTTTGACAAGAGTTCCCAGCGGGGTGTTAGAGAATCCATTAGAAAATTGAAATTCTCTTAATTTTCCATTGTGCAGTATAAGGTTGAGAGTGAAACACTAATTATAGCCTTAATCAGTATCAATTTGCCATATATTATCTTTAAACACTGCTGCAAATAAAATGCAAAGAAGGACCAAAAATAATTTTTCTCAGTCTTTATATTATTTTTGCATTATTTCTCCATTTAATTCTGTGTGTTGCCTTCAGCTCCAGAGCACTTTGGGGATACCATATTGTTCACTACTGATGATGATATTCTTGAAGCCATTTACTACTATGATGAGACATATGATGGAGAAATGGGAGATTCCAGCTCCCTGAGATATGAGGAAGAGCTGAAGAGGCCAACAACTGCAGACAGGGAGGGAGATGAGAGACCTTTTACACAAGCAGGGTTGAGAACAGAGAACCAACAGGTGGGGACCTCTATGTTCAAAACTCTCTATAAATGTCTGTTTGAAACATGGGAGTAATAGACACATTTCCAGGCTGGAATTAAACTGCAGGAGAACGAACACAATTATTACTATTTTAAAGACATTTTTTTTACCAGATCAATAATTTATGCTGTTTTCTAAAGCCTGAAAGGTCCTCCAAATTGTGGTTTCCCTGATTAATTAATAAGCTTACATCTTTACTTACTTGGACAGAGACTAGGGGGAATTATTTATGATTTGGGTACTCCTGAAGGTTTCTGCACCGTCAGTGATTTTCCCCCTACAGTTACTCCTATCATGAGTATCTGTGCTCCCTGGCATTCCAAACCAAAGGTTTTTCCATATTTTCCATATTGTTGGTTTCTTCCTCCACAAATTGAGGATGTTAAATGAGAAGGGTCTCTTCCTCTCAACCCTCCCCTTATTTTTCCTATTTTTCCTATTTTGCTTTTTTTTTTTTTTTTTTTTTGACTAGCATCATCACAGGTTTGGGTCATTATGATGCATTTTGCATCATAAAAACGCCTGTTTTCTAGTCCATGCAGAAGTTATTTCACTCCTTGGAGGAAGGCTGTATTTCCAAGCATTTGAGCTCTTGTCTTATGCCATTCCTGCTCAAACAGTCCAGTGTCTGAGCAAAGATCCCACAGGATTTCCTCAAGATGCTGTATGGCAGTTTTTGACCTGTTTTCCTTAAAATTTTCTACTTTCTCAGAATCTTCCTGAGCACCCTTTGTGGCATCAGTGAGGTTGTCTTTTTTAGGGTTCACACTTTTACTTGTGAGTCTGTCAGGAGATCCAAAGCTGAATCAATCCAAATTCCAGCTGCTCCACTGATCTTCCCAGGGATATATGGTTCTAATGAGCCTCCTGTGGTTGCCAAACCTTCCCCTTCTGTCTTGTCCTGTTTCTTGAGGCTCACAAGACAGAAGGAGATCCAATTGAGTTGGAATTTGATCCCACTGTTAAGACCTTGAGTCAGTGGCTTTAAGCCTTGGACTTCTGCAGGAATTTTGAGCCCATCTTTGCATGCAGTATCTGAAACTGCTCAGAACCTTGCACAGTGCAGGGTTTCATGAAGCTGACAAACTGAAGCTGACCTTCCTTTTCCTGGTCACCTGTTTATTGTGAGCATTCACCAGGACCTCTTCCATGGCAGAAGTTTTGCCCTGGACCGTCAGGTCCTTGCTCAGACACAAGCTCTGCTTTTCATTTTGCTGTTGAGCTGTGATGCCCTTCACCCCCTGCTGTAACTCTGAAACTGCTGTATCAGCGGTGGAATAACAAAAGCGGTGTTGACTGAGCCATTGATCTCTCTGTCACTGTGTGTTTGCTGGTACCATCAGGATTTCTGTAGGGGGATGTTCATGTTGCCAGAATGATACAGATCCACTGCACAATTTGTCTTCCCCAGCCTCACGTTGTCAGACCAGTATTGACCAGTTTGAGCAGCCCTGCTGTTGTTCATTCCCCTTTATTCCCTGTTGCACATTCAGTAGATGAAATGGTGTGTTTTACTAAAAACTTTCCCTTACTTTTCTGTCAATGTTATCCATGGCTATCTGTCTGTCCATGAATTCAGGAACCTTTAGCATGTTGATTTTATAGCAGATCAGACCTGTGGCTACTGCACTTGGTTCAACTCTGGGGCCAGTAGTGGCTGCTGAGAGAGAAAGAAAGAACAGCACAAACTATTTCTGTTTCTCTGAAACACTCATTCAGCCCTTAGAAATGTGTCTCACAAAGACTTTTTAACTTAACCTCTGTGTTTAATATAATGCCACAGATTTTTATTGCTTGAATTCATCCACCAGCTTTTTGAACCCACATGCACTTTTAAAATTTACAGTGCTCCGTGGCAAGTTTCCCAGCTGAACCTGCACAGCACAAAGAACCTCCTCCTTTTTCTTGCTAGCTTAATTTAATGTTCTCTCTGTTTTGTGTTGGAAAAAACTAAACAATTATTCCCCACTCCCTTCTTCAAGCCACTCAAGAGATTTATACCCCTGTGTTAGTCTTCTAAATCTTTTTCAGAATGGTTGCTCCTAGGAAGGTGTTGAACATTTGGTCAAGTGTAACACCATGGTAATACTTTCTACTTTTTATTGCTTTTCCAATAACTCCTGTATTATGGTAGTGTTTTGTTTTAGCCATAAGAATCTAAGAACACAAGTAGGACAATGGCCACTGGCAGAAGTACTTAAAATAGTAGAAAATGAGACCATATCTGAAAGAAAATATATTTGGCATCAGTGGAATGGAATAATCAGGAAGGGATCTGAGTAGATAGGAAAGGGAGAAAAGAGCTGATAAGGTGCCTTGGCACAAATGGTTTATGGTCTGCTAGGGAGGGCATTATTTTACAATCAGTAAACCCAGTGCCTTTTATTGTGTCCATGGGTTTTGATTTTCAGTAAAGTTGCAAATTTGAATTCCCAGGCTGGTGTTTTAGAATTGTTGTGAGGAACAGAACTGGCTCGTGAGAGAGGTACCTCCAGTGGGAGGGATTTTCCACGGTGTAGGTTCTGTGGGTTTATTTCAGAGCCCATTTCTTGTTCAGTCTCAGCTGAATTACCTTGATTCCCCCAGGGACATTTGCTGCCACATGAAGGATACTGCAGTCTGGGAGCCCATGAGATCCTGGGGATCAGTGGTTAAATTGCAGGGATCTAATGGAACAGTAGGAGACAAGTGTTGACAAGTCTTTATTTATTTTACTTAGGCACTGTGTAAATCCATTTGATGTATTGTGGCTGACAGGAAGTTTATTTCTAATGATGAATTAAAGAGAAAGAGTCTGGACTTCTAATTTCCTGTTTGGCATTTGACTACTAATGAGGATTGAGCTGATGTTTTTATACAGCTACTTATAAAAATGGCAAGATTTCATTCTAATCTACTATTATTTATTTTGGAGCCAATACTGGTATATGTGAAGTTAAGATTGTTTTCTCTGTTTTACATTTGTCCACAGAGAACAAAATTTGCCATTTTATCCCACTTACTCAGTGAAGTGAATTCTATCTGCAATCCTTTGCCATTTTTGTCTTTACTACCCTGATTGCCCCAGTGTGATCAGCAAATTTTGTCATCTGTTTCTTCACTTTTCTGAATAGCATAGGCAATTTTTAATTAGCATTGCCAGAGCAGAAGCAAAGCTTTTGGACAAGTTTGCGTGTTTGTTCTGCCTCTTAATTCTTGAGAAGAAATTGTGGTGGCACTCTCTGGTCTTGACTTCCTTCCAGACTCCTTGTGTCTGCAATAGATTTGCAACATATTGCAAATGCAGCATATTATCACTTGCTGATGGCAGTCTGCAGGGAAATAAGTGTTATTTAAGGATTTCAGCCTCTTTGAGAAGAGGTAGCTCACACTATGGAGTCTCCCATTTCACATTTCTATATGCACTAATCTGAAATCCTGCCCTAACAGTCTGGGCTTTCTAAGAGCCCATCTGATATTCTACATTTTGGGTCATGTTTTCCATTTTTTGCAGGACAGCCTGCATGGGGAGGCAGAGGGGAGATTGATATACAAAAAGAAACAGGTACAAATATAACTGTTTTACAAATATAGACTTTATAAGCAGTCAGTGGAAGTGTAATACTGAACCTTGACTTTCTTTTTAGGTTCAAGAGCCAGACTCTGCCTCTGAATGCATACCAAAAGAAACAGGAATATTTACTGGAAAATGTAAGCTCTTACATTTACTTCTTGCTTTACCAGCCTTCCCCCAAACATGTTATCAAGGATGATCTGATTTGTCTGCTGTACAGCACTTTGTGACAGATTCCAGGTCTAGAATAAAGAAGGGAATTTAATATTTAAGGCAGAAGCTTTGTTTGCTATGGCATTTACAACATTATATTGTAACAGTTGGCTTTTAATCTCAGAAAAATAACATTAGCCATTTGCTTAGTCCCTGAATGGGATTTCTAATAGCTGTGTCCCTTACCCAGTAATTCTCTCCCAATCCTTTGTATTTATGTAGACTGACTGAATTTTTTAGATTGGATTGACAACAGAAACCCTAGAGTAAAGCTAGATCAGAGTGTTATATCCCTGCTTAACTATCTGATTTATTATCCTGTACCAAACCAGCTCTCTGTGGGCCTTTCAGCTGTTGTTCAGAGAGTTTCTGGATAGCCCAGAAACTCCAGGAGCAGTTCCCAGTCCTTTGACAAGAGTTTCCAGCAGGGTGTTAGGAAATTTTTTTCACCCTGAGAGCAATCCAACACTGGATTGAGAGGGTTTGGGATCTGCCAGCCTTGGAGACAGGAAAAGTTCCCCTGGATGAGCTCCTGAGAGCCTTGATGCTGGACTTGTTCTGAGCTTGGAGCTGGATTAGACATCTCCAGAAGTTCCTTTTCCCCATGTCATCCTCAGATTCTGTAAGGAATCCTAAACTCTGGGGAATACTAAATCTGTGTGGATGGCTGCTTCAGTGCAGCTTTCCACTGGAGAACAGACTGTTCTCCTGAGAGCTCCTGCCTGCTTGTACTCTGAGCAGCTTTAGTCTCAGCTCTGGCCTTGGGACTTCTTCTGTCAGTGTAGCCAGAACTCCAGATTTGTCAGCTGACAGCTCTTTATTTCTATTTATTTGTGTCCCTGCAAATGCTGATGAAATCTTACACCCAAGTGAATCTCTGTGCATATCAAGACTTGCTCTACCTTTTTAGGGGTAAAGGCTGGATGGTTTAAAAGGTTTAATGCTTGTTTGTTTTACAAACATAAATTATGACTACTGGTGCTTCTTTAGACATTACCCAACCTGGTTATTTGTGGGCTTCTGTACTGTGTGGAATGAAAGGTATTTTTAATTTACAGGGATGGATTTTTATAGAACCTGATCAGATTGGAATTTTACTTGTTATATCTGTACATGCTATTTCTGTCTTTTCAGTAAGGCATAAAACAGGTGGAACAGGAGATTCACATTCAGCCTTTTGTCCATCCAGCTTTTCTTTCCTGTTTATTTTCTGGAGATACAGCCTAATCAATATTTGTGCCTTTCACTGATGCTCTCCCATGAAAATGCTTCCATGTGTCCAGTTCTGATGTGAAGAAAATAACTTAAAAACATTAGTGAACCAAGTTTTTTCTTTGCTTTAACTGTGAGTAGGTGTTCTCTAAAAATGTATGGATTTCTGAGAGGCTGGATTTATATGAATCTACGCAGTCATTTATCTGGTGAAAGATGATGGATTGACTTCAGACTAATGGATCTTCTCTGTGTCTGCATAATCACAAAATCTGTCATGTAACTGCTTAAATGTGTCACTGGCTGGCTGTCAGGGTGCAGTCCCATAATGAGGCACTTGGGAATGTGCTTGATCAGCAGTTGTGTAATTTCAAGTGAACAAGGTGTTGGTGGCACATTAAAGGGCTCTGACACAGATTAAAAGAAGCTGCTGTTACATGGAGGTGGACAAACAGAGCAGGGAACATCCAATTCCAGCATATAAAGTTACTGAATCTGTACAAAATATCCATGCTGTTAATCACTGGGATTTGCACTCGTGTTTACATTGGCTCATCACTAAAAACCAGTAATTTATGAGACATTAAATGTATATTCCTTTATTTAGGCCTGCAACTGAACTTTACCATGACCTGGGGAGACACTCATTACCTGGGACTGACAGGACTTGAAGTGATAGGAAAGGATGGTCAAGCATTAAAAATCAATGCAGAACAGATTTCTGCTTCACCCCAAGACTTAAATGATCTTCCAGAGTACACAGGAGATTCCAGAACATTAGAAAAGTAAGTAACCAAAGACTTGGGATGCATTTTACATCAGATTTTCTGAAGTGACACATTTCTGTAAACTTATGTTAACACATGTTAATGTGAACATGATTTTTATCCCATCACTGCTCATTCTTGGAATTCACAGGCTGTCCAGGAACAGCTTGTTGTAGAAACATGAATGAGATGTTTCCAAAAGATGGTGTTTGAGCTGGGAGATGAGAGCATGCCTGGTTGGTATTTCTGCCAAGGACTTTCCAGGAAGAAATGTGGGTGTTCTGTAGCATCTGTCTGTGCATATTGAGTGATATTCGTGCAGGATTTCTGGAGAATTTCAAGGAAGAATTTCACGTTAGCAAAGACTGAGGATGTGTTTTTTGCCATTGGGGAATTGCACAAATAGGTGTCATTCTTTTGGCCAATTTGCAGCACTTTTTTTGGCAAATCTAATGAAGTTTTATTCATTGACAAGTATATTTCCTCAGATTAACCTGTGCATCTAAATGGCAGCAGTATAGAAATGATAGGCTGTAGATCTGGAGAGGACTTGGCATTTTGGATGTTATTGAAGCTGCATCCTGTTGTTTCTGAGTCATCTCTCCATTTTAAAGGGTATTTTTGGTTGTAATCCTATCTTGCTGGCATGTTTATGGGCTGTGACCAGGTTTATGAATTCAGACTTGTCTTTTCAAAGGCTGTGGAGTCTTCCTTAGAATGTTGTATTTATCTCCATGCACACTAACTCTGTTGTTTGTAATTTCCTGCTAATCTGACTAATGCAGATATCAACCTTACTTGTGTGTAATTCCTTGTTCCTGCTGCCATCTTGTATGAAAATCTCCTCTGTAGGCAGTTGCTGATCTAAGAAATCTTCCCATGACATCCCCTGTGATGAACTGATTCTGCTGGGGAGTCTCTCCAGACCCCATGCTGATGGACCCAGATGCAAAGAATTCATTTACCTTTTTTGTTGGTGCCTTCTCCTCTCTGAATGCTCCTTTTGCAGCCTAGTGATATGTTGATCCTACAGAATTTCTGGCAAGCTTTCTGCCCCTGATGTATTTGAGGGATTTTATTTATTGTATCTTTTGCTTGCTAGCCTTCAGACTCTTTTTTTGGCCTGTATGTATGCATTTAACCTTCCAGAGTTTATGAGTCTATCAATTTAGGGCTTTTTTCATCATGAATTTTGCTGAAAGATGGCCATAATAACTTTGTTTATCCTGCTACTGAGCCGGGCTGGCTTTGAGTTTTCAAGTCCTCCTTCTTTCTAACATCTTTCTTAGTAAGTGGGTTATATTTTTAATTTTTTTCTTTTTTACATTCTTGATTGTTTTGCTGAAGAACTTTTTTGGGCATAAGAAATAGAGGCTCTTTTGGCTCTGAATATTCCTGCAAGCATGTTGAATTTGAGTACATTGCAGTGCTCTCAACTGTGGCATTTGGAATAAGTCCTGTGTACTATTCAAGACTAAATCAAGAATTATCTCTTCTCTCATGGACTCCCTAATCAGTTCCTCTGTGAAAGAGTCATTATTCAAATCTTTTTCTTTAAGGAATTACCAAGTCTGGCACTCATTCTTCCATTAAACTTTTAAATAAATAGTAAGTATATACTTACTTTTTTGGCAGTGTACCAAAGCAATTACAGTGGAAAATTAATTCATATTCTCCTTCACTCCATCTTCGTATGGCACAGTTTGTGGTAGAAGAATATAATGTCAGCAAACATCAGGTTTAACTTTATTTAGTCAGCCTGAAGCCTGTGCTGCCATGAAAAGACATTGTCCTGTTGCTTGGAAGCTTTGTACAATAGCAGAGATGTGACTAATTGTGTCCACGAGGGATGTGAGCAAACCCTGGTCCTGCTCAGGGTTATCCAGCTGCCATCCAGCTCCTCCTGGCATCCAGCAGGCTTGTGTTGGCATAGAAACACCCTGCAGGGTGCCAGATCCACTGCTTTGGGCGTGGAGCTGGCTTCAGAAATTCTGTTGTACCTGGCTTTGAGTCCTGCCTTCAGCCACTTTGCTACAAAGGCAGCTGAGCTTTCCTTTGCCTGTCCCTGCTCACACAGGGAAAGCATAAAGATTTTGCTGTTTTTACTTAAGCAGACCTAACTAAAGAAAATACAGGGGTTTTTTTCTCCCTCCACTGCCTTTAGTTCAATACTTGCATGCTACTTTTGATGTTTTCTCTGCTTTTAATTGCATGCACAAGGGCATGAGAAGCCCTGGAAGCTGGAAGTGGCATCCAGAATAAAATAAACCCTAGGAAAGTTCCCTGCTTTTGATGAGAGAAGCCAGCTTTTCCCTTTGTGCAGCTAATGGACTTTTCTCTTTGTAGGTTAATAGATGGGACTAATATCACAGTGGAGGATGACCATATGTGGCTCATTCCCTTCTCTTTTGGAGAAGATCATCTGCTCACAATCCATTTTGATAAAACTGAAAGTATTGCAGGGCTTCGCTTTTGGAACTATAATAAATCTCCAGAGGATACCTACAGAGGGGTAAGTAAAAGAAAAGGAGCACTGCCAGCAAAAATATACAGCAGTGCATTGGAAAATTGGTACTGTGATGAATGAATATAGCTGCCTTAATGGAACACCATAAATCTTTCTAGATTGTCTGAGGCTGAATTTTGTGGCAGGTGTAATGCATTCCTGTCTCCACAAACAGCAGATAGTAAAAAAAAACCAAAAAAAACAGAGATGGTTTAAAGAACTCTTCACAGCTGATTTTTCTAAGAGACACATACAATAGCACATATTATTTTCAGGATATATGATTCTGAAGTGGTATCCTCTCAATATCTGGTATTTAGACCTACTATATGATTCTGTATTTCTTGAAATGCATGGAATGATATGAGGGAAACTTTTCTAAGGAAATTCTGTTTAGTTCAGGTTCAGAAGGCCACTCACTCAGTACTGCCTTTTCCAGGAAGAGTCTTTTGAAATATTAATATTTAATAGATGGAAAGTTGCCACCTTCAAGCAGTTTAGCTAAATTAATTTAGTGAAATGATTTTTAATTTTTAATAATTTAAAAATTATTAATTTAGTGAAACAGTTTTTAATTTTGTAATTTTAGCTAATTTAGCTAAATAGTAATTTAGCTAAAATTAACATAAATCCTCTCTTATTTGCAAACTGCCTGCTTTATATTTATTTTTCCATACTAAAATGTTGGGATTGACAATTGACACCTGATGGAGATAATTTTAGACCTTTTCACACTGAGTTTGGCTGCTGTACTTATACATGTAATGATAACACTTGTGATGATAATGATAACAAACCAGAGGTTGCTGTTCATTGCACAGAAAGTTTAGGAATCCACCTGTTCCCAGGTTTTCCACCCCAAAAGGCAACTGGTGCATTCCAAATTCAGGCAATAAATAAGAACACAATTCTTACTGTGTTCCAAATTCAGGAAATAAATAAGAACACAAATGTTGGCACATATTAAACTGGAGAGATGACAAAAAGGGTGTTTATGAAATCCCAGCTGATCTGGAGATTTGAACAGAGAGCCCCTGATTTTGTGCTCCATCACATTTGCCCAGCTCCTTTGACACATGGGAGGGTTCTGGAGCATTTTGAGCATTACCATCTAAACATACAAATGGGGGGTTTTACTGACATTTGTGTCCTGATTTCAGCTGGGGTAGAGTTAATTTTCTTCCCAGGAGCTGTATTTTGGATTTAGGGTGATAATAATGTTGGTAACTTACTGATATTTTAGTTGTTGCTGAGCAGTGTTTATTAAATCTCTAAAATCTAACATGGAATTTGGTTTTGGAGGCCAAACCAAGAAAAGAAAGGAAAAAAAGGTGTATTTTCAGCAGTTTACTTGGCTAGGTAGGAAGAAGAAGTGAGTCTGATACAGGTGTCTACCTGCATGAATACTGAAAATCCCATAAGAGTTAGTGGATACCACTTAAAGGAGGAGCCCATAGCTGCAGTCTTGTAGAAGGATAAAATAAATTATTTGGAAAGCAAAAGATGCAAGGTCCACTGGGCCACAGGGAAGGAGGTTTTAGGCTGTAGACCCAGGGCATCCTGACATCTGTCTCTTGAAATATTGCTGCTCCTTCTAGGAACCAGTCCCTGGGTGTGAGATGGGATGATTTGTTAGGCAGCTGCAGGCTGGGGGATTCTATTCACAGCTTCAGTGTGAGAGGGCAATGGCAGGGACTGTCAGAATGAAGATTTGGGTGCTATTTGCAGCTGTGTGAAAAATCACCTTGGGAGAGCTTTGTTATGCCATTTGTAAAATGCAATAGGTGACGGCTGAGTGCCTCCTCAGATGATGAGAATTACTTAGAAATGAGGGCTGTAAAGGGCACATAAATATAAGCAGCTGTGGTATAATAGGTAAGATTCCATCTCTGACTCTCCAGACTTCCCATTCACTGTGTGTTTCTGTTTAGAAAAGTGTATTTCTATGGATTTCTCACTTCCTCTCCTTAGCCTGGCAGACTTATTCAGCTGGAAAGCAGCATGCAGAAGAGTTTCTCATCTGAAAAAGATGTTTCCTTTATTTGATCCCAAGTGTATTGAAGATGAAGCCAGAAATAGTTATTTCTCCACACTTGGTAGTCATACAAATATTCCCTCCTAATTAATCTTCATGGAAATGAACTGGGCTCCTCCTCCAGTCTAGCACAAACTGGTACTTGGTGAGAGACCCAGGGCAGCAAATGCTGCTTGTGATGAACATTAAGTTATATTTAACAAATTAGAGAGCAAGGTGCAGTGATTAATTTTTGCAGTGTGGTTGAATTGTTCTGCACCTGGGATCATGGATACAGCTCCACATGGTGCTGCTGGGGAGGGTGAAGGAGCCAGGACTCCTGCATCAGCTGAATAATTGTGCCTGAATTATTCACTTTAATCTCCAGAGGTTGGATAAGGTGTGCTCACATCTCTGAAGTGGCCACAGCTCAATTGTCTCTGTCTGGTACCTTTTCTTTATTCATATGCCCTGAGGTTACACACAGCACTGCTTGGCAGAGGAGTTTGTATGATCCTGGAGAAGTCCAAGTGCCACCTGACACAAAGATAAATAGAACTGCTGAAATACAGGCTGCTGTAAATGCAACAGAAACACCACAGTCTGCTCTGGAGAGAGCTGTGGGGTTTCTGGAAGGGTGCCCCCAGCCAGGCTGGGCAATCCCAGCTGCCTTAGCAGAGCTTTCAGGTGCATGATGTCTCAGATTCCCTTTGTAACATGGGCTGACTTGAGAGCTTCCCATTCTCTTGATGTAAATATTGCTGCAGGCTCAGGAATCAGAGGATGGTTTGGGTTGGGAAAGAGCTGTAAGGTCATCATGTCAAACTGCAAACCTCACACTGCCAAGGCCAGCACTGACCCATGTCCCCAAGTGCCTCATCTACACCTCTGAAATCCCTCCAGGGATGGGATCTCCACCCTGGGCAGCCTGTGCCAATGCTTGAGCACTCTGTGAAGAAGGGAGGCTTCAGTTTGCTGAGATCCAGTGCCATGCAGTAATTGAAGGATCTGTCAATACTTTTTTTTTGTGTTTTTCCCCCAAATCCTCACTTCTTCCATCCCATCAATGTGATGACATAGACATTATGGATTGCAGCTTTCTTTTGCCAAAGGAAGTCACACTCTAGAGGAATGAAATAAATGCAGCTAAGTGAAATTATTTCAATCTCTGAAGTGAATGGAATTGTTTGCAATTATTTTAGTGGAAATCATGTCATGTAATATCAGGTAATCTTATGTTTTGCTCTTTTAAACCAGGCCAAGGTGGTCCACGTGGTGCTGGATGGGCACAGCATCTCCCCCCTGGAGGGCTTCCTTATCCGCAAGGGACCAGGCAACTGCCACTTTGACTTTGCTCAAGAAATTCTGTTTCTTGACTATCTACAGCCCCAGCCATCTCCTAAAATACACAGGAGGTAAAGCAGGATGTTTTTGTTGTCTGAACCACTTGATTTCTCTTCACTGTTGCAGTGTCATTTCACATTCCCTGCTTGAGCTGCTTGTGTGAGGCTCCTGGATGAAAACATGGAGCACTTAGAACAGAGCTTCACTTGGTTTTAACCCTGACCAAATTGCTCTGAGGTCTGAGGGGAGTCTGGTCCATCATCACAGGTGGAGGCTGGGGTGCTGTCTGTGGAGGTTTAATGCTTTGGGTTTATCTTTTTGTCTTTTCTGAATGAGCCAAGGGTACATAAAAAATCTGGTTTGCCTTGGTTTTTTTTGGCAGGAATGCTTCAAGGACACTGGAACAAGCCAGTATGGACTATGAAGCACCATTAATGCCCTGTGGTTGTATCCTTCCTTGTCATCTTCATTGTAATATGGGATATTTTAGAGCTGCATACCATGGTTAGGAGTCTTGAGCTTTATAAATCCAACAATTTTGGGTGCTTTAAAGTATTAACAAGATACAAAGAATATGAGAAAGGCTTCCATAAAGTATGGCTTAAGAATAAATCAGATCTGTTTTCAGATTCTCTGGTGGCTTTTTCTCCTGAACTGCAAATAAGAGTGTCTGACATCGTGGGCTGCACAATAATTTTTCAAACTGCAGATTAAATAGTCTGTTAGGAAAAAGCTTCTGTGTTGATATTTTCCTTAACAGCCTTTTGCTTTTCAGTTATTTTCCAGTTCCAGCTCCTGACAAGTTGGGGTGATCCCTACTACATTGGTTTGAATGGGCTGCAGTTGTTCAATGAGCATGGAGAGCAAATCTTACTGACTGAAAACAGTATCCTTTGCACAGCAAGCACCCCTGGCCCTCCTGATGCACTTTACTCCCTGGCAAATTGTCACTCCACATTGCCAGGTTGTCCTGTGGGATTAACTTGGCTTCTATTTCTCTGTGTTTTGGTGATGAACCTCTTTTCCATATGTTTTTATGGATTCTGTATAATTCCAGAACGTTTTTTCTCTCAGTGGGAGGCACCAACAAAGAGGGACAAAGTTAGAGAAGGAAAGGCTTAAGAAGGGTGTGGTATTTTCTGCTTTTGACATTTCTTCTGTGGTGGGAAAGGAATAGAAAGTTTGCTGAGCTATAAATTCATAAGAAAAGATTGAGTTCAGTGCTTTTTTTTTTTTTATTGCGCCTCAAGAAAGAAATTTTTCATAACCCTTGGTCTGGAGATTTAGGCTGTTCTAGACACCCAATGCAGTGATGAAGATCAGGGCTGAGTGTTTGAATTTGATTCAGTGTTCCCTGGATATCTAACAGAGGGAATGAGGGGTGTGTTGGGAAGATTGATGTTCATGAAGGTTGCACTCCCTGCTCTGTACCAGCTAAAGTCTCCTAAGAGCTGAAAGCTTCATACCCCAACATACAGTTCCCATAGTTCAGGTGTGTGGAAGGAGCATTTATTAGGGCCTGGAAAAAATAAATAGCACAAATGCTGCAGGAATTGTCTCTAAGGATCCTCACTGCCTAATAAATAGGGAATTCCATGAAATAAAGGCTTTTCCCCAAGTGCTATTTTGATTTGTATCTTGTGTGATACACCCTGAACTTGAAACATTTATAGTGGACAAGAAACATTTTGAAATTGAGATGTGGTAACAAATTGTCTTTAAGAACCAGGGATCTTTAACTGACCTGGTACAGCTCTACAGTGCAAAACAGTGCCAGGTAAAGAACCCTCAGCTCCTTTTGAATGATCACCTGTTCCTGCCTGTGCACTTGTGTGGGATGTATTAGGATCCCAGAAGAGCTTATTTGTCTTTGTGCAGTGTTTAATATGATAATTCACAACTGAATCAAGCTTTTCTTAAACAATTTAAGCATTGCTGTGTCATTCCCTCAATTCTTTATGAATAATTACAGACTTTAGAAAGCAGGACAGGGTGAAATTAATGTCCCTCAAACTGGATTGCTTAGGATTCACAATTCTGAAGGCAGTGCCATCCATCTACGTTTCTTTGCATATCTTTAACATTTATATATGTTTTTAATGTAAATGTTCTCTTACAGAGAAAATCTGGTTGCTTGTTCAATGAGGGTTTAATCTTTCCCTCTCAAAGAAATGAAAAAAGGTTTTATTACAGTTACTGATTTTTACCACAAACCTTGAGAAACTCAAGCAAAACCTAGTCTGACTGATGACTGCCTCCTGCAAAGACTCTCTTCTTGAGATAGGTTTTATATGAGGAATTTACACAAGTTTATGATAAAAATATGGGACTTCATCACCAAAAAGCTGGGAAATGCCTATTCCTGCTAATGGAACTTTATTGATGAAGTCATAAGTACATATTTGAGAATAAATTAAGTGCAGCTAGTTACTTGATTCCTATTTTAAAAATAAATTGCAATGCCAGAATATCTAAGGGTTGTCCTGCTTTAAATATGAGCCCCCAAGTTCCTCAGCTATGCAGTCCTGGGAATCCTGCTGAAGTGGTGAAAAATCATTCAGAGAGTTGGAAAGAGCATAGACTTTTAAATATGGTGTTTCTGAAATATCCATTTTTGTAGGTTATTATGCCTAAAGTTTTTTTTTCAGATATTGCTGCTTTTCCAGATAGTGTCAACATTTTGGATGATGTATCTGGAGACATCCGGACTCCAGACAAACTGATTGACAGAGTGAATGACACCACTGATGGCAGGCACATGTGGCTGGCACCAGTTCTTCCTGGTTTGGTACATTTTCCCTTTTCTTCTGTTCTAGTCGTGTGTGTGGATGGAACTGGAAGCATGGAGGAAAGGGGAAGCATATGGAATTCATAGCTAAGTTTAATTTTAGGAACAGATGCTAAATGATGCTTTTTAGAAGTTGTTTTTATTGCAGCCTCTCTGCACTGCACAAGCAGCAGCAATGGAGGTTTCCCAGGTTTGTAATCTCCTCTCTCCACAGGGCAGCAGCAGCAGATTTTCCAGAGATGATTTTTGAGTCACTGTGACAAAGATACTGATGAAGCAGTTCTGTGCAATAAACACCTTTCTGGTGCTTTTCAGTTCATTTTTACAAAATGCAATTAATGTTGTTCCAGCAGTGAGAAATTATCTTTTAATCTCATTATCTATGTTGAATTCAAATTCGTAGATTAGGGATGGCAGACTTAGTATTTCATGTCCTAGGGCCACAGATGATTCAGCCCTTTTAGAACTCCCATGTTTAATAGCTGGGATATCAAAAATCTAAACAGGAAAAGTAGATAAACTTAGATGACTTCTGACCTTGTTTCAGGAAAGGACATTTTTAGGGGCCTGTAATGGACATAATTAAAGTGGTGTTATTTCTTGTAAGAGAATGGATTTAGAAAGAAAACAAAGAATAAACCTGACTAGTAGTAAGTTATCACTTACAGTGTTGGTGAACTCCTCACTCTAGATGTTGCAGTTATTAATTACAATATTAAAAGCGAGGAATTGTTAATTTATATCATGATGTGTTGTAATGAAGGGCTATAATTAAGGTAAAGCTTTTAAGTATACTTGGGAACAGTGAGTGCTTGCATTTCCTAGGGAAGTGGAAGGTCTGTGTGATGCTTGAGGCTCCTGCTGTGTAGATCCCAGATCTTGAATCCTGGCAATTTGATGGGATGCTCAGATGTCTCTTATAACAGGATGACTGATTGATTTGACAGCTATCTGAGTGTGCTCATGTCCTTACAAGACACACTTGCAGAGGCTGTTTTACTTGGAAAAAGGAAGATAATAGGCACTGGAATTCTCTCTCTTTGTGTTGTTCTGCCTGACACCAAAGTACTGCAGAAGAGCACAAAATACCAGTATTAAAGGGTAAATTGATAATGTGTGAAATGCAGGAGGCAGAAGCGATTTAATGGTGTTTTCTGTCCTTGAACTGTAGCAAATTACACCTCTGTAAGATCCACAGAGTACATTTCCCTCCTCTCTCTTCCCTGGGATGGCTGTTGAGCTGGGAGGTGCTGGATGGAGCAATCAGCCTATTGATGCTCAGCCTCTGGAGCTGGGCTGCTGAACCTGAGCTTGTGGATGCTCCCATCCTCAGTGCAGGCTGCTTGGAAAGCTGCATTAACTCTTTGATGTGTTGGAAGCTTCAAAAGCTTGAAGGGAATTGGCATTATAGCCTTTCTTTTCCTTCCAAAATGTCTTTTCCTTTTTAATTCTGAAAGTGGCTTCCTGTTTTTCAAATTAATTTCTTACATCAGCAGAATTTGAATTATTTGTTCTCCTGTTACTGATTGTCATTTTATTTCTTTGTTTGAACTGATTTTTAATCAAATGTATCATTTACTGTGGGATTAACAGTTGTTGTTGGAGACAATGCTCCAGTTGTCTCATGGAAAATCACAGATGCAAACATTCTATTGATCCAGTCTACCTTTCTTTCTTCAGTAAAAAAAAAAACCAAAACCCCAGCATAATGATTTAATATAACCTTCTCTAGTACATCAAAGGATTAAAACTTCAGAGGATGCTAAAGATGAAGCTTAAGATATGTTGATCTGAAGTTGATATAGTGGCTCATAAAAGGAAAAGCATGGAATTAACTGTAACAGGCAAGATTGGTTTCCTGCCTGCCTAATCTTTGGTCTTAACATCTTGACATTAACGTCACTGAAAGGCAGATGAATAATACCTAAAGCAGTAATTGTTTAGCAAGCATCTGGAGGATTGTCTCTAAATTCCTGGTAGTATAACTCACACAAAAATTGCAAAATTTCTGCTGTAGCTTTCAGGGCATACAGGGGAGATTTTAGTCCTGCAAACAGAAAGGTGGATTCCATTCATATTTGGTGGAAAGAGATGGAATGGACTAGAATAGAATAAAATCCTTGATTCACAGAGTGGTTTAGGTTGGAAGGGACCTTAAAGCCCATCCAGTGCCACCCCCTTGCATGGGCAGGGACACCTTCCACCAGACCAGTCTGTTCCAAGCCCTGTCCAGCCTGGCCATGGACACTTTGAGGGATCTAGGGGCAGCCACAGCTGCTCTGGTCACCCTGTGACAGGGCTGCCCACCCTCCCAGGGAACAATTCCCTCCCAGTATCCCATCCATCCCTGCCCTCTGGCACTGGGAAGCCATTCCCCCTTGTCCTTGCACTCCAGGCCCCTGGAAATTGTCTTTACACGCAGAATAGAACAGAACAGAAGAGGCACCAGCCTGTCTTACCCCTAAGGACATGTCTGTGTTTGGTTTATGAAATACTCATTAAAAGTGTCTCTCTCCCCCTCCTCCAATTTCCAGGCAGTCCAGGATGACAAGGATGCTCCACATCTCATCTCCATTCTTTTGAGAGTAGCTGGGGGGTAGAGCCAACATCTGGGAATTATCAGCAGGGATGAGAGCTGAACTTCCATCCTCAGCATCAGTTATCTCTCCTCCAGCTATATTTCTTTAAATATGAACCTCTTTTGATGTAACATGCATGAGAATTGAATTTCTTTGGGGACTTTGCACTGTTAAATATAAATTAATTCTCTTTTGCAGGTGAATAGGGTGTATGTCATTTTTGATGTACCTACTACTGTGTCAATGATCAAGTTATGGAATTATGCCAAGACACCTCAGAGAGGTGTGAAGGAGTTTGGTGTAAGTAATTTTCCTGTGCATTTTGTATGTCCTAGTGAGTCAGCTGGCTCTATTCTGAACGTGTTCTCACAGTTTGTTGAAGTGTGATTCCATGTAATCTCAAAGGATGGGATTCATCTCATTTAACTCTGCATTTAATATTAAAATGACTAATCTGTGCCAGTCATCTGTCCTCCCTTTTTTTGTCCAGGGAAAGAAAACTTTATCTGATTTTTGTCTTAGATAATTATCTTAAGACAGGATAACACTTGCCTTTTTCCACTGACTGTAGAGTAGGCCTGGAAGACTGGTTTGAACTACAAACCCAAGTTTTAGACAGCTGAAGTGAGGTGAGATTCATTAATTCCTAGATTTAAGAGTGATTCACTCCAATGAATAGAATGGCAATTATGTAAAACATGAAATACATTTTTAATTACCTACTTGAAAGCTGCATTAAAAAACATTAGTGACAAGACAAAAAACTTGGGAAGGAAAAAAAAATCAAGCTCCAGCAGCAAATGGAGAGAAATGGAAGTTTTAAGAAACAAAAGCTAAATTAATGACTGGATTTGTGAAACAAATAGGGCAAAATGCTTTTTAGAGACAACTGATGAAAGCAAGGCTGATTTCTCAGTGGATTTTTGGTTTATTTCTTTGATGTTTGTAGCTTCTGGTTGACGATTTGCTGGTGTACAATGGGATTTTGGACATGGTGAGCCATGTGGTGTCAGGCATCCTCCCCACGTGTGACCCCGTGGTGCCCTACCACACCATCCTCTTCACAGATGACGAGAGGATTTGCCACCAGGAGAGGAGAACTGTTATCAGGTACGTGAGTGGCTCTAGGCTGAGACAAAGAATCTTGGCTTTAAAAACTGGTTTGATGTGGCTGATGTCAGCAGTGTGTGTATTGCTGAGGAAAATTCCCTTCCAGAGCATTCCTGGCCTCACTTGAAGAGGAATAAGCAGATTTTTAGATATAAGGAACAAATTACCAGCTTTGTTTGCAAGCATCTTTTAGCACTTGCTGGTATTCATGATTTATATTTACATCAATTTTCATGAAAGCCTGTAAACACAAAATAAAAAAGTTAGGCTTTTTTTAGAGAAGGATTAATAAATCCCAATGATATTACATGGAGGGGGAAAAAATAGAAAGTTCAAGAAAAAACCAAGCATCACAATTAAAGAAAATAAACTCCTCTGATTTGACACAGATGCTAATTAACAAGTCAGAGTTCTACTATTTTATAAACAGTCTAAAATAATGAACTTCTAAAATGAGAAATGAATTGCATTTGGGGGAATGATGCTTTAAAAGCACTAAGTTGGCAATCTCATGGAGAATGCAATGAAATGCAGTGAAAAATGCACTCACATTTAGAAGGTCAGGAATTGGTAGGGTCTGAAAAAACAATCCCTGGCAAGGCAAGTAAAGATTTGAAAGAATAATTTATTGTAAATGAGATTGAAAAGTGAAAAAATGAAAGCTTCTAGAAATGAACACTTTCTTGCATGTTGGACAGCTGACAAATAGAGTGTTTTGCACATGCATCACTTGGAAAAAAAAGGCAAGTTTTGCATGGATAAATGGTGTGTGACTCAGAAGGATATTCAAACATTTAGAAATAAGCAGAAGGAACATGAAATGCTCTGAATAAAGACAGAGGTTCACATTTGCCTTCAGGCTTTGTTTTCTTGAGTTTCCCCGAAGCATTGGCTGTTGGCCACTGGTCCTGTCAGAGGTTCAATAAATTTTTGTTGTTTGGATGTGTTGTGTTGGACTTGTGTTGTCATGGTAAAACTTGGAGGTGAACAATTTCTCAAACTGAAAAAGTCACTGAAATGAAAATGCCTTGAGGAAATGAAAGTTTTGAGGAAATTTTCAATGGGATAGAAAAAAGAGGAGGATGGAAAATGAACCTTTACTTTCCCCAGCTTCAGATCTTTCTATGAGTAAAATTATTTTATTGAAACCAGGGAATCACCATCTGTAATCACAGATCTTTTTTACATAACTTCATTTGCACATATTTATAAGACATATGTCCTTTGATGTACTTTAAAGAGGAGTTTTTGGGGTCACAAACACTGCATGGTCTCTTTTCCAGTCGAGAACATGCTGAGCCTCTTCTCCTCCAGACTTCTGTGCAGGAGTTGTCTTGCTCTTTATTCCCAGCCTGGTCTGCAATCATCTTTTCTCTTTTTTTCACCTCCCACCCTACTAAAATACAGGGTACTTCAGCAACAATGGGAGACATGCTGGATAATATCCCTTCATTTTAAAAATGCTCTGGAGCTTTTAGAGCAGATACTGTTGCTTGTGATGTTGGCCTATTCTCTTTCACATGGTTCAGTATTTTATGAACCTGAACTTGAGTCTGATATTATCATCAATAGTTTAAGTTTTGGTTTGCTTCAGTATTGGCTCTCCTTCTTCACTCTCAGTTTGAGGGACATTACATTTTTCTTCAGAAATAGAAACCCATGTTGTGCAGTATTTGGAGAGAAAAGGAAAAGTACACTTCTTTAGTGCAAAGGTACAATAAAGAAGGGGTTTTTTTGGTCTATGTGAAAGTGAGATTTTATTACTGATGTTTTCCTTACCTTTCAATTCAGCTCATATTTTTCCCTGTAATTTGTTTAGTTTAATTTACCTTTGAAGTTATTACTTCTTTCCCAAAAAGAAATGGTTAAAATTTTGCAAGCAAAGAAAGCCTGCAAGCAAAACTTGTCACAGTAAATGAATTTTGTTTAGTTCAGAAAAGTTTCAAATAACGCTCTTTCAGAATTAAAAAGCAGTGTGGAAGTTCCGTATGAGGGTTTTTATACCCCCTTTGTAGAGCTCTGATTTAAAATCTCACTTTGCTTTGTGGTTCAAGCTGTGTAGGCAGGCTTGAAAATTGTAGAGTGAATATGATATTTATATTTGAATGTGTGCCTGAATGAATGCCACTAATTAAAACTGGCAAGAAATCCTTCAGGGGGATGAGGACAGGACAATTCCTGTGTGGGTAATCCTGTGTGCTGTGGCTGTGCTGTTGAGCTTGCAGCACTCCAGACATCCCTTCTTTGGTATCCTTGTCCATGACTCTCAGAACTTTGCCCAATGTTGATTGTTTTGGCCATTGTACTGATTTCAATCTTTTCAGCAATCATGTGGGGGATCAGGATGTACGAATGATGAATGAAAATGAGATTGTCACCAGCAGCAAAAAGAAACAAGTTGTGGCTGATCCGGGTGAGTTCTGTCTTCCACATTTTTCTTCTGCTCAATTCCTGCAGACACAGTGTGGATAATGAGCATTGTTACAGCCCTAAACTGGGAAAAGTGGGAAGTCTTATGTATATTTAGCTCTGCTTTTTCTGTCATAGAAAGGCAAACTGCAAATTTCATCATCTGGTGGGTTTCTACTCTGTATCTAAATCTGAAAGGGGATGATGTGGTTGTGGCTCACAGCACCACAAACGCAGAAATCCTCAGCAAAGAAACTGGCTGAAGATAAATTGAAAATGGCTGTTAGTTGTTCAGGTTCACTGATAGCTTTTGGAATAAATCATTTGCATCACCACTGGCCTTTTAAACAGCTTCAGAGATGGTTCAGATGTGTCTGAGAAACTGCTGCTTGTGGCTTCTTAAGCAAACCCAGAATCACAGTGATTGTAACAAGGGGGAAACCATGTTGACTCTATTCCTCCCACTGTCTTTCTGGTTGGTCTTTTTGCTTACAAGTGATAATTAAAAAGACAACCTCTCTTTTTTTCCTAAGGAGAAATAGTAGATTGTATTTATAGTCTGAAGAGTACCAGTCATTCATTGTAAATTACTCAGAATAGCTCCCTAAATACATCTCAAATTCTCAGCCAAGCTGGTATATTCATGATTGGTTTTCTCTCCTGAGCATGACACTTTCTCCAATTAGTTCTCTAGAAAGTGTTACAGATATTATTTGATGGCTTTTAATAACAGTTCTGTAGGAGAAGGATTTGAAATGCCATTGCCTGTGAAAAACCAGCTTGAAAGTTATTATATTTAACAGTACTTGCCAAAAGTATCCTGGACATCTCTGTGCCCACTGGAATGGCATCCTGGCTTCCAGAGCAGACCTGTCCAGTAAAGAACAGCTGTCACTGCCTTGGCCATCACATCTTTTCCAGCACTGAGGACACAGAGCCTCTGAAGTCACCAGCTGAGGGTGCCTGTTGCCCTCTGCCCCATGTCCCCTCTGCAGTCCTGGCTGCACAGGCACAGTGGGTGTTGATAACACATTTGTGGAATGATTTGGGTTGGAAGAGACCTCAGGGGGTTCCCTTCTTGAGGGAGGGTCCAGCCTCCTACTCAGGACAGTGTCAACCCTGAATTCAGAGCAGGTTGCACAGGAAAGCAGTTCCATGGGACTGTGGAAAAGCTGGCAGCACTCACTGTCAGTGTCAGACACATCACTGAGCTCTGCTTCATTCTGGGCTGGAAAGAGAAATGGGCATTTTTGTTCCTCATTTTAGTCCATGGCTTCACTGTTAGTGCACAGTCCTAAAGCAGCCCTTCATTTTCCTCAACAGCTCTGCGCCCCAAAACCTGCATCTATGAGAAAGGACTGCAGAGGAGGAAGAGATAACAAGGAAAGTCCTGAATGCATCCAGCCCTAAGTAACTGCACTCCAGAGCTCCAAAATATTCATATCCAAATGGAAGATTTTCTATGTCTGCTGCTGCTGAACCACCTCCTCTTGTGAGAGGCAGTTTTATTTGCTACAGGAATTTTTTTTCAGAATGAAATCTGAAGCATGAATTCAGTTTCCTGGGGCTTTTTTTTTGGTCATGATCTGTCTGAATTTTCCCCCTTATCTCTTAATTGAAAACCAGGGAAGAAGGAACATAAAAGAGCGAGTGAGAACCTTTCTGCTGACAACTGTTCTGCCAAGTACTGAGAACTTGGGTTAAGCAGGATTGTCCACCGGTTTTTTAGATTATTTCTAAAGCTTTCATTCCTAAATCCTAGCTTGATGATCTCGAAGATCCTCACTGGAAGGAGGTGTTGCTTTATTTCTGATGCCTGTAAATAGTTCTCAGGGAAATGCACTTATTAGAGGAAATACTGTTTAGCTGTCTGTCTCTGGGCATGTTTTGGTGCCAGGGCTGTCTGTAGGAGCTGCCACTGTTTCTGACACCTAGACAGGTTCCACTGGGCTTGCAGAAATGTGATGGATGCTTTTAGGAAGTGGAGATCAGGAAGTGGCTTTATCAAGGTTTAATAAGTGCATTTCAGCTGTCACCTTTTCATGTTTTGCAGTGAAATAATTATTTCTTTCATCATTTCACTACCACGGAAAAAGCAAGTGAGATGTTTTGCCTGGAGTGCCATTGACAGGCACTCTGTACATGCTTCAGAGTTCTCCTGCTGCAGAGCAATGTTTTTTCCTCCTATTTTGCCTGAATTTATATGAACAAGGGGGCCATGCCTCTGTGCTGCACTAACCAGATGTTGCCAGCAACAGATCATCACTTCTGAGAAATGGTAAATGCCTTTTAATTAGCTGGAGGTAAGGAGAGAAGTGCATTTTTAAAAAAGAATACCCTGCACATGTAGTTGTTTAAATAAAAACTCTAATCAAGTGAATATGCTGCAGGATTTGCTATGCAAATGTACTTTTCCCTGAAAACTTGGTGTTTGTGACAACCTGTAAATCTCTTCCATGGATTCTCATTTAGAACTTGCTCATTCTTGTGAATCTGTGATTGTTTCCAGAGAGAACTGAATGCTGAAGTCAGGATGTGCTTTTACACATAAACCAGAGATAGTGGTGCAGCTCAGTTTAGAACCAAACTGTGCTGCTTCCCTTTCTGCCCCGTCAGGAATGTAATATCTTGTATATTTGATTTTTAATACTTCACTGCTGTTGCCTGAGCTGAAAGGACACAAGATAATGCATTTCCCAGGTTTCGGTGTACTGATGGAGCAAAAGAATTTATTTTGTACTAAATACAAACTACTTTGCTTTTAAATGTAAAAAAGTGTGTGAGTACATTGTATTTTGTTTAAATGCTCTTCGCAAGCTGCACTGACTAAAGAACCCTCTTGCTCTGAGAACTCTCCCCTCATTTGTTTCTGGTGTAATTCTACCAAAACCCAAGTGCTAATTTTTGCTCCAAATCATCTAACAGGCAACTCCAAATGAAAAAGAGGAGGAGCTGAGAGGAGAGGTATTGGAAGGGCTCAGAGCAGATATAAATGTCTGTGTGTGGAAGGGGAGAGGGTGTAGCAAGGTTTTCAAGGCTTAAGGCACAATCACAGATTTGTCATGTAGGCAATCTCTAGATGGGATGGGGCCTGTCACATTGTTTGTTCTGAGAAAATTGCATTGGCTCTGCAGAGAAATGAAATCTGCTGTTTCCTGGCACTGAACAGCATCTCTCTTATTGATCTGAAAAGGTATGAGGGGGAGAGGACTTCCTGTGCTCACCTGTCTTCTCTGTATCTGTCTGGAGCATCTCAAGTCCTGCCTGGTGGGCTAACGATTTTTCATCCCTAATGCTCCAGGTTTCTGAAATTATTGCAAACTATTTGGTTGAGCTCAGGGTCACAGCTCTCTCTGTGTTTCCCTGCCACCAAGTCTTCCTCATCTCAGTTCGTGACTGCAACCAATTTTCAACACCTTTTGCCTCTGGAAATCAGAGTGAGTGGCTTCAGCATTTACCATCCTCTCCCAGCAGCCCTTGTGCCCATTCAGATTCCCCACAGCTGCCACATTGACGTGGAAAGACCACGATAGTCTTGAAAATATTTTAAAAGATTGTCAAGTTGTGGAACATCCTCCCCTGCAGTGTCTGTGTGTGAAAGAAGGGTTTGCCAGCAGGCTGTCTGGGATGACAAAAACCACCAAGGCACAGCCTAATGGACTCCTTGGTCCTAGTCAGTCATTCTAGAGAGCAGCATAATGTTTAGAAAATACTTCATTCATCTCTGTGGGGTAGGAGCTGTCAGTGTTTGCCCTCCTAATTGGAGCTGAGATGTAATGACCCTTTATATAAGCAAAGATAATTAAGAGTCCTAGTCAGCCCTATACACTCAAACATAGACACTTGACTCATTTTTCCAGTGAATCAGGGTTAAAAAAAAAGGGATTTATTCAATTTTTCACCTTTTTTTTTTTTTTTTTTCTTTAAACTAACTCCTCACAAGTACATTCATGTCAGACTGGCATTTACAGGAGGGACAAGAGGAAGAGTAAACATGCAATCAAGAAAATCCCCACGGAGCTCTTGAGTCAATGTCAGGCACAGTTTCATCAGGAGTAATTCAGCAAGGATGTGCCCAGTAACATCATTTGACATTGTCAAAAGCACAGGAAAGGAAAAGGAAGGATTCATAGAATTCTTGATGAAGATTTTGATGTAAATTAATAAAGTCTCACCCAATTTCAATATCTGGGCCCCACAAAGACCTTTATGCCATAGTTGTTCACCTTTACCTGTTGTGGTTGGATTTAAAGGGCTTGGATCAAGATAACAGAAATCAATTTGTTTGTCCCACGGTGACACTGAGAAGGGCAGAGGATAAAGAAATAATCTGTGAGGAACTACATGCAAGGCTGCCTACTTTTTGATCTAGAAAAAGATATTTTTGTCAGTGTTCACAGTCTAATCTGAAATGCCTGGGAAGGCCTGCAACTTTTCAATTTCTGCCTTTTTGTGCTTTAATCCAGGAGCATTTAAACAGGGAGAGGCACCTGTCCATGGATAAGGGAGCAAGCAGTGGTGCAGGGTGTGAGAGGCAGCACAGAAGACATGGAAACCTGTGCACTCCTGAGGCAGGACACTCATCCATGAACCCACAGGAGCTACATCCAGCAGCTGAGTTAAACTGAGCCCTGCTCATGGCTTAGGCTGGACTGGGACATGAATTGCACCACAGCATCCTGCTCAGGTGCTGCTGTTCTCTGTAAAATCTCCTGCTCCTGCTGCACTTGTACCATGTCCCTGCTGTGGCATTCCCCTGGTGATGCCCAGCCCTGCCACATCAGGGATGTGTGTTGGCCTGGTGGCACTGACAGTGCCCATCAGGTGCTGTGGGACTGCATGGAGGTCTTGGAACACCCTGCAATGGCCAGAGACAGGAGCTGCTGCCAGTGAGGCTGTGAGGGGGAGAGCAGTGCATGAAGGAGGTTGATTGGAGTCTTTAAGCTTTCTGAAGTTGCCAGAAAATGCTCACTTCTCAGCAGAAGTCAGGTAGGAGCAACCATGAAGAGCTGTATTGACATCTGGGTTCTGCCACACGCAGAGGATGAAGTCAGCTTTCCTTTGATTGATTGGTGAGAGAAGCATCCCCCATTCCCTCCTGCTCTCTGCTGTCCTCCCTGCTGGGTGCAGCTCCACACCATGCTGGGGAACAGAGCCAGTGGTGGGAACCCCAGCCTTGTGTAGGGTGCCCTCCGTGTTCTGGGGCTGCTGATCCAGGAGGCTGAGCTCCAACAGGAGCTGCTCTTCTGGTCAAAGTCACTGAAGCAAACAAAGCTCTTCCAACATTCTTCAAGGAATGTGAACACCAGACACACTTGATGGTGATGGCTTCACCATTGCCCTTCATCAGGTACTGGAACTGGGCACCCTGCAGCATTTGAGGCACCTTCCTGGGTTCCCTTATAGCTTTTTTTCCCAATCATGACTATCTTTTAGCTGCATCATCATGCTTAGAAGGTCAGTTTGTCTGCCAAAACTGTTCTGAAAGTGCTGCCCAGAGTCACTGTTTGCCTTGCTGTTGTGACCAATCCGTTATATTCTCCATCTATGTGCTCAGGTGGGCTGCAGAATTAGTTTCATTTCTGACATTTCCCATAGGAAGGGCACTTGCTCTCTGATCTGGGGTGTCTCCCACTCCTGTGTCACAGCGCTGTGGCTCCTGTTTTTGTGGGGTCCCTGTTTTTGGGGATGGCAGTGCTGTGTTCTTGCTGGGCTGTTGTGTGCCCCGAACAGCAGTAGGAGAACTGTTCATTTTGGAGGTGTCTCCTCTGAAGAGCAGAGAGGGAGCAGTGTGACACCCTGGGAAGGTGTTTGCTTCCCTCTGTGGGCTGAGGCCCTGCTGGTCTCAGGAAGGGAGGGACTTCCTGGCTCAGGGGCCTCTTTGCCCATTTCTGTGACTATTTGCTTGTTTGCTGAGAAATGACTTAGAGCCCATGTGAGACACAAACATCCCTTTATCACACAGCTTGTATCACCCTAATGGAATTCTGTCAGCTGAGGATAAAATGTGGACTAAGAAAGCAATTATAGAGTGAATCTCCAAGCTGCAGGAAGAGCTGAGAGATGGGGACCAAGTGCCCAGCTGGAGTAATTTCTTGTCCAACTGGCCTCTAAATCTTGCTGGGAAGAGATCCATTTTCCACCCTTGTCTGACAGCATTAGTTCCCTTCACCCTGGCTCAGGACCCTGTGAAGTGCTGCAGTGTTAAAGATCTGGGCCCAAAATGAAACACTTGCAATTGGTGACTTCCTTCTTAGTGACCTAGAAATTACTGGAGAAGGGGGAATTCAGGCTGTAGACCTGTCTGACAGCTCTCTGGTGTTCCCTTCCTGAGCTGCTGCCTGAAGGAGGGGTCTGACCATCCCAATGAGCAGCAGGGTAGGAGGTTCCCAGCCTGGAATATTGCTTGGAACACCCCATGAGCCTCCACCCATGGCTCACTGCTTTGGCTTTAATTAGGAGAGGAAGACCATATGACCTGTGAGCTGCCTTCCCCAGGTGTCCTGGTTATTTCTGGAAGGTCTCAATTATGCAATGAGACCACAGAGAGATCCTGCCTTCAGCTTTCAGCTTGCTCATGGTCTCTTTGGGTGTGAGTAAAACCAACTTGACTCACAAACTCCTGGTGTTGGTCTCTGTCCTGTCACTCATGGGACTTCCAAAAAATGCCAGCATGTACACACTTTGTGCAGTTTGTGGAAAAAGGATGGACATTTTGGGGAACTGTAAATCCAAGGAGATATATCAGACAGGTAGAATTAGCTCACACTCAACTCCTCCCTGTAAGCTATCAGAGAAGCATAAGGGATGGAAAAGACCTCCAAGATCATTGAGTCCAACCTGTGACTGATCACCACCCTGGCTACCAGACCAGAGCATTCATAACTCCTCAGTTACAAAAGCAGGCAGGTCTCTCACCCAACTGTAAAATAAAATATCCAAAAGAATGATGGAAGGAAACAGCACATTAAAGAATGACAGGATTTTGCTGGCAGCAATGTGGCAGCTGGGGTAAAGTCCTGCTTGTGCAGGGGTACATGGAATGGATCTTGAGGAGGATAAAAACACAGAGTGAGGGAACAGGAGCAGATGTGTGCCTCAGGGAAAGTGCTGCCTGCAGGTAGGAAGTGAAATGCAGCAGTGCTGGTTGGGATCATTTGTTGTTTCAGAGCTCCATTGCTTGTTTTGCTCAGCTTATCTGGATCTAACTGGGAAAGGAGCTTCACACTGGAGTTTGACAGAACACTGTGCTGGGCTAAGCATGTGGAGGTGAATGTCAGTGCTAAAAGAGCTTAGAAATAGCCAAGTCTCCTCAGCAAAAGAGCATTTTCAACCTGAAAGTCTTGTGGCCCTGGAGGAGCCTGCGGTGGGAGCAGTGGTAGGAGAAATTTTGGGTCTGAACACTGCCCCTCAGAGCCATCATAAGGGTCAGGAAGAGACTGGAACTCAGCTGCTGCCTCCTGAGAGTGTGAGCCCAGCTGGGAATTATGGACTGAACTGGTCTCCAGACTGTGCCCAGTCAGTGCAGCTGGAGCTGAAGCAGATGTGGGGCAAATTCTGGGATGCAGAGCAAGTGTGGTCAGCAGCAGGGCAAGGGAGCACAGAGGGAGCTGCCGTGGCTGGGAAGGTTGCTCAGGGAAATGCCTCCTCACCCAGGGGGACCATTGTGCTGGGAAAGAGAAGGATCCTGTGGTAAATACAACGAGCCAGGACAGCTGAGCCCTTTTATCTCTTTCACTGAGAATTTTCTGCCTGACAGCGTGAGGTGGCTGCCAGAACAGAGGTTTCTGTGTGAAACAAGCTGGGGAAAGGGCTTTCATCTTGGGCAAGAAAGAGCTTTTATGTCTC